GTCTGTGGTTTTCAGTTCCAGTTCTCGGGACTGTGTTCACTGCATTTGTGTGTTTTCTTGTGTTATGACTAGAGATTCATAGATATCATTTTTCAGACTGAGCACATTACATACCATCAGTGTCCAAAGAAAAACAAGCATCTCCAAACTGGTACCTTTACAGGAGAGGATGCCAGTAGGAAGTTAATGATAGGCAATGTAAAGATATTTCATTCCAAGTCATTTTAGAGCATTGGTATTGATATTGGAAGAAATTTTCATGTGACGTAAAGGACAGCCACTGTGTCCAAATGATGGAGAATGGAGACAACAATATATTTATTACTCGCGATACCCGAGTCTGATGCCATACAGAGTAAACTAATTAGAATGAAGTAGAATGAAGTACAGCCTCTACAGATGCTCTGCCTATGAACAATTATCTATAAAGCTGCTTCATTCAAAACACCACCGAGTACTGAGCAAACATGCTGAGAAACTGAGCAGCTTTGCTATCTTGTACCACACTGAGCACTGAAGCCAAAGCCAGGCGGTGAAGTTCACAGTAGAACAATACGGTCTCTCTATGACCTATTTTATCAAATAAAATATCACAGTGTTAATGTTTATTCCTCACAATTAGATTTAGCCAAACAGAGTAAAATGGGCACAGATGGACTTTGGTAGCAAATTTCAACTTTTTTCACCTCTGTTTTGCTAGCCTACGTGTCTCCACTCATATTGAGAAAGCGGTTGTGTTTGTATGTGTTTAAAACAGGCTAAAACCACCCAGTGTAGGTCTAGTGGGAATCTGCCAAGAAAAAATGACCAATGGTTTACGTCACACAGCATCAGTTGGTATTGGTGCATTTTCTTGAGGTTGAGTTTGAGTAAATGAGCACAGTATCAGCCTGATACTCAATACCAGTATCGGTATTGATGCAGTCCTAGTTACAGTGCAGTCTAGGGTCAGAACAGAAAATGAGAGTGGGCTTTAGGAGTGTTGCCTGGCCTGGAGTTCTACAGATATAGCCTTGAATATTTTTTAACCAGCCCTGAACCTTGTAACGCTAACATTTTGCACGCTTCACTCCAACTGGTTTACTCTCTAATCATCCAAGAATTCATTCAGAGCTGCATTCACCTCAAACCCAGAGAGAGAGAGAGAGAGAGAGAGAGAACACTATGTGATCTTTCTAAGCATGGCAAGTTATCCAGTTCAGTTCGAATTTAAGCTTTATGGCAATTTGCATCCAAGCCACTAATGATTCAGTCTAGACCTACAGTGGCAACAAAAATCTCTTAAAGAGCACGAGGAAGACAAGTAAGGCAGCCAACAGCTCTGAACCTGTCTTACACTTCTGATTTAGATTTTATTCATCCAACTTCTTGAATTGCTAGTAGATTGCATGAACATGCAAAAATAATGGGCCAAGCGCAAAATGGCAAAACATTACGCTTAATTACAAATCATTAGTCAGTAAATTAGCAAGAATTAAAAATTAAGCCAAATGATTCACTTTGACTTCTTTAAAGGTTGAAGTTTAGTGTGTAGATAATCTGCAGACAATCTTTTATACAAAGAAGAGTCAGTATTGATCCACTCAGCACTGACGGCTTCAAACGGCTGAAAAACACTGCTAAGCTAATTTGTGTTTAATTTGTGAACAAATATTATATTTATGGTTTAAATCTGGACTCTGACCAGCACAAAACCATCACTTAAAACCATTAGGATTTTGGGCTTGGCCCATTGTTCTGCACAGGAGTGTACAAGTAGGAGAGAGGGGTCTTCTTACAGCACCTTTCTTAGGTAACCTGTTTTAACATGGCTGATCATACTGGAACACCACACGACCTGCTCTGCCTGTATGAACCAGAGAAAACAAACGTGCTTTGTTCTTAGAAGCGAACTTCCTTCTTGGTAAAGTTCGATAGTCTTCCCATGTAGCAGGGATTGTTCCCATAGTTTAGCCTAATGTTATAATCTATATCGAACCAAAAAGGGTTTTCTGTTGTAACAAGCCTGACATCAAAACAACAGAAGAACCCTTTTTGGTGCTATATAGAACCCTTTTCAATAAGGTTCTATATAGCACCATCTATAGCACATTTTCCATCAATCTGAAGAACATGGTTCCATATACAACCATTTTCTATACTAAACAGCCCTTAAAGAACCATCATTTGTAAGTGTTTAGGGTGTTACTGGGTGGTTGCTATGGTGTCCTATATGGTATCCTAAATAGTTGCTAGGTGATTGCTGCCCTAAGTGGGTACTATGGTGTTGCTAGGAGGTTGCTATGTTGTCCGAATGGTTGCCAAGTTGTTGCCAAATAGTTACTATATTATCCTAGTTGAAGAACACTACACTAACTACCAGTTCTGTTACGTCAGCTAAAAGATGCCCATATTGGCTACCACTGCGCTAGAGCGATCATGACCTTGATGCCCAGGAGGCGCCCAGGAGAGGGAGGACCACCCTACCCACCCAAAGAGAACAAAGCCGGTTATGTTCCTCAAAGGAGAACTTCTTAGTAATGCCAAATAACTTGAGCCTAAAGTCCAGATGTAAGGACGAATGTAAAGACCTGAGGCTCGGACAAGTTCACTATAGGACTGTTTTGGCCTTATCCAGATTTTTTAAATGTGCAGTTTTTACTTTCCTACATAATTATTTGCATCTCTTGTAAACAAAATCCTTAAAAAAAACAAGAGAAAAGAAGAATGAACACACTGCTTGTAGCAGAAAGTACATATGTGTCAAGACCTGAGATGTTCCCCAGTATTGCTGTTCTTAAAGTCCTCTCCACATTTCCTCTCTCTCCACATCAACCACATCTTCTAGACGTCTCCTCTCCAGTGTCCCGCTAAGAGAGCAACATTTTCTACCGATTCTTTAAAATGCTGAGTAGTCATTCAGTACAACTGTTATTAAAACCAAACTAGAAACAATATTTTAAATATAAAAGGCTAAAGCAAACCATTATGTCTGGGTTTTTTAGGTTTGATTAATATTGTACCATTACTTTATAGCTTCAAAATAAATGTTTATTTGTGACAGAAAATGCAGAAAATGATGTGATAAAGCTGCAACTCAAAACACTGTACTGTAATGCTGGAAGTAGAAGCTCCTCAATAATATAAAGAATAGAGCAGTTTTGGTGTGTAATAACAGTAATAATCGTAATAATAATCATTTTATAATAGTGTGGTAAACATCAATTCTTAACAATGTTAATTTAATCAAAATTCAGTCTTTGAAGTTGTTTGGTACGCAGGATTCAGAGCAGCAGAAAACATTTTTATTTTCACTTAGTAAACCAACACCTGCTTCCTTCCAGCAACTCCCGACTTAATAGGCGTTTTTCACGCACGGAGGAGGGGTCAAGTTCCAGTGTTGTAGTTAGCTAGTTAACACTAGCTACCTTACTTAATGTCACAGACAGGATGAGTAATGTTAGCAGGTTTCAGCATTTAGAGATCTTCAAATATGTGTCTGTTTAAGAAGTAAATAAACGCTCTCTAACATGAATTATTGTGTTAAATTATATCCTTCTCAGTGTCCAGTGCTGTAGATAGGAAATCCATGTAAGGCCTCGGTGTTACCAGTCCTCAAAGAAAAGCGAGGAACCACAGAGAGTAGAGGTCCAAAGACTTCAAAGAAGTTTGAAGGAGTTGAACCAGTCCATTGTTACAACATTGCAGTTTCACGAACCCATTTTAATTTATGCAATTAGATTTACTGTTTTATGAGCTGATTCACTGTTAGGTTCATACTCTATGTATCACATATAGCCACACATCTTTCCCATAACCACCTGCCATCATCTGGGTCACAGAAGTTCTTTGATGCCAGTCAAAACATGAAAACTCAACACATATGACTGTTCGGTAACACTTTACTGTAGGGTGTTGTTCATAAGGCTACATGACACCTATATAAGGTTGTCATTACAACTGACAAAACCCTACATAACTGTTTATAAATGCTTGTTCCAATAAGCCTCATTATTTATAAAGGTTACATTTGCCAATTTTGATGAAATTCAGCTAAAGTAGCCTTTATGACAGATGAAGCCTGTTGTAATAAGCATTTATGTAGGGTAATGTCAGTTGTAATGACAACCATATATAGGTGTCATGTAGCCTTATGAACAGCACCCTACAGTAAAGTGTTACCGACTGGTCAAATGTAGTACAAACCTAAACGAAAATAAACAAAAGTGTAGAAATTAAAATGTGAGCTGAATACAGTGGTTGTTTTTGAAATGTAAGGGTATATTTTAATAACAGCATTTCACACATAATGTAAGTAATGGTTGCCTCATATATACACTGTATATGCGCGTCCTCCTTGGCTTGTTCTTCCTCCTCTATCCCCGACATATCCTGTTCCACCACCCCCTCCTCCTCATTAGTAGAGTCTCCCTCACTCTGCTATACACAGACCCCCTTGCTCGTTGACTCCAACTGAAATGACATGGTACTGCACCCATTTTCACCCATGTCTTTCCCTTCAGTGTAACGCAGATGTCCGACGGGTTGATATGAGCGCTGCACACCTACGTGCTGTTTCAAATTACTTTGAATTTTATCGCAATTAACCATTTCTTTCTGAGCTCATCATCAGATGGAAATGAATGAAAACTCAAAAGCGGAAATGATTTTACACAGAACTTTCCAATTCGGAAATGTCGACCCCAGAAACGAGAGAAAGGCTCATCAAGACTTTTCAGTCCTGCAGCTTTAAATATTGGGATTTCCACATACAAAACCAAGACTGCTTTAGGCTTGTTTTGACTTTTTATACTGCCATTTGACTGAGTAAGTGTATCTTCAGTAAATTGATGACTGACACACACATTTCTGACTTTCTATTTTCAGAGTTTGGATTCTCCACCCAACCAGATCACTATTTCTCAGATATTCCTCACCGTTTTACACTTAATGCTTGGGCTAGTGCTGGTGATGATGCCACTCTGCCCTGTTACATTGTTCCTGAAACCAGTGCTGTTGCCATGGAGATCAGGTGGTTTAAAGGGACAGACTGCATTTACCTGTACCAGAATGGTCAGGTGACAGAGGGGAGGGGCTACGAGGGCAGAGTGAGTGTGTTCACAGACGAGCTGGAGAATGGAAACGTATCTCTGAAGCTAAAGGATGTCCAGGAGTCAGATGGAGGAGAATACAGGTGTGAGGTGACTTGTGGAAAAGAGAAGATAGAAAACAGCATAGTTCACCTGCATATATCAGGTAATTATTGATGAATTATGTAGTTGTGTTATAACTGAAGTTTTGGGGGGGGCATGGTTGGAACCCTTCATTGCTGAAATCCTTCTTCCTATTTAACGCCCTATAAAGTCACATCCTCACCTCCGCTCCTGTGACGAAGGGTTTGCAATCCCCACCACCACCCCATCTCCTCCCTGTTCCTCGGTCCTGCATCAGTCCTGCTACAGCTATGGGGTGTCTGGTCTTCTAGCTACAGGCAGAAGCTGTCCAGAACTCCAGCCCAAGTTCTCAGAGTTCTCCCCCTCCCTCAATCAGTCTTCCCTCATACTACCACCGCCATGTTGAAGGCATGGTCTGAACTCACAAGTGATTTCAAACTATTGAACGGTAGTGTACATACAGATAAAAGGACATGCAAACATACGGATTTACTAAAGTTATTTAAATGCACTCATGTTGTACGAAGAGCCCTGTTGAAATCCAGCGCTCAGCAGCCCTGGACACTCAATTTTTTATATTTTCAGATCACAGTTAACATCTATTCATTTGTATTCATCAAAGCATTTATAATAACCCACAACAACAACCAGTTTAACTAACTAAATAATCAAAATTTAGAAACAAATCAGTAATTAATTGAATGCTGAAGTAATGCTAGTAAAAGTACGTAAAGTTTTCATCCTTCGTCAGCTTGCATGACTGTACAAACCCTGTTATAGTGCTGTGATAAATTATAACAATGCTTTATTTCTGTGGTAACTGTGTTGACTGATATTGCATTATTCCAGAATTGTGAGCTTGTAACACACCCATACTGAACTGCACTCCTCTATGTGTCATTTTTACATTCCTCGTTCCTCCCATAGACTCCCATTCATTTTTAACAATGCTAAGAGCAACCACTTGGCAACCCTCTAAAAACCAAACATTAAACACTGCACACTCCATGGCAATATCCTAGCAACATCTTAACAACGAACCTTTATATAATAGCAACCACCAAGAAGCTTAAGCTGCACAAACACTCTGCTTTTTCTTCAGGAAGTGCACTATTCTTCTTATTCCTCTTTTTCTTATTTTTCCTATGAATTTTTATCTGCTTTTTCCGAGATATCAAGATACACCATTCCAAGTCTGGAATGGCAACAGCCTAGCAACACTTTAGCAACCACCTGGGATACCATAGCAACCACCATGTACACCAAAGCAACTGCCTAGCAACATCTTAGCAACTGCCTAGAATACCAAAACTCCTGGGATACCATAGCAACCACCTAGCAACTATCTGAGATACCATAGCAACCAGCATGGATACCAAAGCAACTGCCTTGCAACACCTTAGCAACCACCTGGGGTGCCATAGCATCTGCCTAAAAACACCTCAGCAACCACCCGTGAGACCACAGCAACCTCCTAGCAACACCCTAGCAACCGTGTAAAATACCATTGCAATTGCCTGGTAACACCTTAGCAATGGTTCTCAAACGGCTTAAGCTACGCAGTCACTCTGCATTTTCTTCAGTTAATGCACTGTTCTAGTTCGTGATTTTCGGATATCGACACCGTTCCAACGTCTGATCAGGAATGGCGAACTTGCATACAGCTTTTTGATCTAACATACGTTTTATGTACAATCTTTGTTAAATTACGTTTTTTTTTCTCCATAGGAATAAATGTGGCAAAAAGTTCTACATCCATCTACTGTACTTCTGCTCAACCAAAAGACATTGTTTCACATATACTATCTCAGGGCAAACCCCCAAGCACGAATTCAATGTTGTTCTGACCCGCACTCGTCTGTTTGTCTTTTTTTCCCCTAACCTCTCATTTCCCCTATAGATTCCCATTCATTTTTCCCCCCACACAAGCCCAATTAATTCTTTGCCTGACAGCCACCAAACTGCATGCTGTCACTCAGGACAGGTGCCCAAACTCTAATCCACAGCCATACTGACCCACACTCCTCTATGTATCGTTTTTTCAACCCTAGTTCCTCCCATAGAGTTCCATTCATTTCCACCACCAACCAATGATGGCAGTACACTGTAACTGGTAGAAGCAAGGACTTTGAAACCAACCCCTTTGTGGGAATACTCACCACATTAGCGCAGGGAGGAGCCTCCAGGGGTCAGCAGTGGTGGACGAAGTACACAAATCATGTACTTGAGTTAAAGTAGAGATACTCAAGGTAAAATATTACTCCAGTAAAAGTAGAAGTTCCTCCCTTTAGACCTCCACTTGAGTAAAAGTACAAAAGTATTTGCCTTCAAATGTACTTAAGTAACAAAAATGAAAGTACTAAAACATTAATTAACTTAATTCAACTTAGTTACAAGTTTAAGTTTAATAAAAACTTTAAACTCAGATTCACAAATGAGTTTCCTTTACTAAACTGCATCTGTAGGTCTCTGTTCATAAACATAAACTAGACAAAACTAATTTACTATAAAATGAAATGTGTTTGTATAAATTCAGAATAAAGACACGTCAGTCACAACTGCATATGAGTACATATTTCTATATTGTGGTCTGTTTACACAAAGTTAGGTTAGTTCATCATTTATGTTGAATAGACTCTCCCATAATTTTACACTGCTGCACTGGGTCGGTATGACCAACAGGTCAAAACAAGCTCAAAACAAAGTGCGCTGTGCCCTGATTGGTGTTCTTGCTTCACACTTCTTTCGTTTAGACATGTTACGTTTTTATACACACATAAACCAAAAGGAGCGACAGATTTCTCATAATGTAGTGGAGCAAAAATTGAGATATTTGACTTTGAAATGTAGTGGAGTGAAAGTAAAAAGTCACCCAAAATGGAAAAACTTCAGTAAAGTACAGATACACGAAAAAACGACTTAAGTACAGCAACGAGTTACATTTACTTAGTTACTGTTCACCACTTTGGGGTCGGCACATGAGTCTGTGTGGACATAGAATGTGACCAGTACCTTCACAATACAAGCCTCTCCTCTGGTGACAGGCACAAAGAATCACTGCGTGGGTTCATCTCGAATGTTGGTGATACAGATCTCATGTTTTCTTCAGGGAACCATAGTCTGCTGTTTGACAGCTCCTCTACATGTCTTGCGGTTACGGGTGAGTTAGTCCAAGCAGATAAAGTGATAAGCTGATCTAGACTCAATTTTTGCCTCTACAGGCCAGTTCCGTTAGAATGTCGGGGTTGAGACCTGGGCGGAACATAACTAACAAAGCTAGCTCATTCCACCTGCTACTAGCTACCAGTGTGTGACATTCCAGCACATAGTCAGACACAGAATGATTTCCTTGATGCAATGTAGTGAGGAGTTCAGCACGAATTTTACCCTCGTAAAGATGGTCAAAAACCGTACTGAAGTTCTTCTAAAATTGCTCTTATGATAGATTTTGAACCTTGGGCCGTGAGATCACAAAAGATATTTTTGCCTGATCTGTACTCGTTAAAAAAATGAAGCACTGGAGCAAAAATCCTCAGCATTTATCAGGATGGCGATCAAACTCATCAGGTTTCTTCACTGAAAAGGTAACACTAGAAACTTCGGTGTGGGGATGTTAACTGTTGTTTCCGGAGCAGCAGCAGTTCTCAAATGTTGTAACTGGGCAGTGAGGTCTTTAACATTGTTAACCAGCTGTAGTAACTGGGCCTGTTGGTCAGTCCACTGATGTGCTAAAGTCTCCAGAGAATGAGTTAACCCTGACAATGCCTATTGATGTTGTCCTCACAGATTACTTTGATTAACAGTGGCCTTCTGGATATCATCTAAATCCACTGTCTGCATGGGTGACGAGGTATTCTGTAACATGACAGAAGCTCACAGATAAAATGAGGAAAGTAGGTCTTACTAGTTAGAACCTGATCCAAACTCATAGTTAGAAAACAGGCACAGGTGAAATCCAAAACAAGACAAAAACACAGAGGGACAAACATAACAGAAACAGGTAAACATGATCCAAAAGGGCAAAGCAAGAAGGCAAAGACTAAACTAAAGCCTGGGATTTAAATACTGTCCATGACCAGCCATATGACAAAGAAGACAGGTGTAGTATATTAGTATTCAGGAAAAGGGGAGCGGCGATTGGCTGTGGATGGTGGTGTGACAGCCAAGTGATCATCGAGGGAGTTCTGGGAAGTGGAGTTTTGCAAAGAGTCAGTTCTGGAGAGATGCATGACACTAAGCTTTATCTGACTTTGCATGCACATTAAATGTCCTTCATTTTTTCTTCACAGAAATTGAAGATTTGATATGGCACAGACCCTCAGCCTCCCCTGTTCAGGCCTTGGCTTATCGCCGGTTTAACACAGTCCGTGCTAACGCTGGGGACACTGTCCGCCTGCCCTGTCGCCTCGCACCTGAAATCAGTGCAGCGGCCAGAGAGATCCGGTGGTTTAAGGGGACGGACTGTATTGAAGTGTATCAAAGAAGCTATGAACAAACATCGTCTGTGAGAGATGTGTCTCTGACACTGAGAGATGTTAAAGTCACAGATTCTGGACAATACAGGTGTGAAATGCTTGGAGAGAAGAAAGAGGAGATCTCAGTTATTCATCTGCACGTGTCCGGTGAGTACTACGTACCTGCTGTATATAAAATATACAGCGACTGACCACTTCATTAAATCCACCTCCTTGTATGAGTCTGATCCACTCAGACCAGCGCAACACATACTAACACACCACCACCATGTCAGTGTTACTGCAGTGCTGAGAATGACCCACCACCCAAAATCACCAACAACACAGCAAGAGTTAAGTGTAATGTGTGACTAGATGTCAGAGTGAAGAAGCAAACTTGAAACCTCCTCCTTGTGTTTTAATTACAGTGCTGTGAAAAAGTATTTACTTTTACAGAATCGCATGTTTATCACAGTGAATGCCTTTAAATATTTAAATAATATGTAATATTAGACAAAGAGAACCTTATTAAACACATAGATTTTTATTTATATTTTATTTATTGTGAAAACCTAGTTGTCCTTTTAAAGGGGAGTTCCAGTGAAAGTGTACTGTGGTTTGAATATTTTTCAAAATTTCTGCATAATTAATTGATTAAGATGTAAACAGAGTCATTCAGAGTGGTTTGGTGTGAAACGCTCTGTTCTAGAGAAACTTACCGAGTCAGAACTGTTCACAGTGGTGGTGATAGGAACCAGACGTCCACCTCTAAAAGCTCCCTCACCGATAGTTACTACATGAAATGGTTATGAATTCACTGCCTGACGCCTAAGGCATTGTTTTATGATAACTTTAAGAAGGATTTGGTCTACAGTATATTATTAAATATCCATGTGCAAGGCAAAATAGTCCGCATTCCACACTATTTTCCCATCATCAACATTCCATATAAACTCAGAAGACTCGTGTAGGTTCACTAGTGGTTCTGGATAGTAAATAAAATGAATGTCTATATTTGTGTTGTAGTCATGGCGACCCCTGGTTCCTATCACCACCACTGTAAAGGCATCTGAACCATTTCACACCAAACCACTCTGAATCACTCTGTTTACATCTCAGGCACTGAATTATGCAGAAATATTGAGAAATCAGTGGATTTCTACTACAATCTTTTAATGATGATTGGTACTGCTTGTTTAAACTGATTTTAAAAAAATGATTTAAAACATTTTAAAAATATTAATTTGGTCGAAGCACTTTTATACAAACTTTCTTTAAAAGCCACAGCTTGAAACTGAACCACCCAGGTGGTCACAAACAGTGGAAACACCATTTTAAAGATGCTTTAATTGCAGTGAAAGGTGAGGAAACAGTTGTAAGCATTTTGTCCAGTAACACTGCAGAGCCTCAGTCTGCATTTGGCACACATGATGGAGGTCTGTCCAGCGGAGCGCATTCGGCATCAGCCCTTCTCTGACAGGACGGGGAAGTGGTCAATCCTGTCGTATCTCATGTCATCTGTTTTCTTCTATTGAGAAGCGTTTCACTTCACCAGTGGGTTGGGCAACAGCGTCAGGAATTTACCAAGATGACCATTTCGATGTCTGCCCATTTAACCACAGTAAGCTGTGCTTCACTGTCAATGTGGAAGTCACAGCTCCCTGTTCCTCTTCTGAGGAGACCACAATCGTCTTACCGTCTACAAGCCATCAAGCTTTTTTCTTACGTTGTCATAGCAGAAAACCCAGTGGTTGAAACATTAAGCCTATTCGTTAAGTTCCCCATTAGGACAGTAGCGTTTTCCTTGCTCAGGTAAGCCAGGTAAGTTTTTTTCATCAGGGTTGGGAGTACAGATTGTATGTGTTGTGGTACAGATTGTGATTACCTGTTAATAAACGTAATCTGTAACCTAGTCCAAATGACTACTGTAATAAAGCAATCTGTTAAAGTTTCTTCATAGTTACTATAATTAAATGAAGACAAGAGAAAAGCAATTTCAGCAAGATGACTAAATTAACACAAGCAAAACAGGAACAATGTGTTGTTTTATGAGAATAAAATATATATCAGGAGTGCACGACTCTGGTCCTGGAGGGCTCGTGCTAGTTGCCCTACTTGGACACCCCACCCAAAGCTGGCGGTTAACAGAGTTGAAGCAGGTGTGTTTCAGCAGGTAAATCACTAAACTGTGCTGGACACTGGCGCTCCAGGACCAGAGATGTGCACCCCATTATCTCTAATAGGTGACCTATGACAAGTTGTCTGTGATTTATATAAAAATCAGAAGGTCAGTCTGGTAGACATCTGGTAGACCCCACTCTAAAAGGGGTCATTTTAAAAATGCTGACTGCACATCAATTGCATTCTATTTGCTAACAAAGCCTGCACTGGCTCATAAGGCTTCATACTGGTGTCAGGCTTGGACTTTGATGATCTCTGTTTGAGATGCAATTTAATGATGGTCCCTACTCTCTAATCTTTCAGCGGTAATAAGTATGTAATGACATCACTTACCCTGTATCTGCCAGCTTTCCTAACATTTAGCTAGAATTTATGTTGCTAGTGCTGTGACACTGTAACCAGTTTCAGCTTTAAACCATACTGTCATGTGACAGTACAGCAGATGTCCCCTTATATTAACATATAACTTTTATAACATTAATTAAATGTGTTGCATTTAATTAATTAAATCCAAAGCAATGTCTATATTACCACTGCATTATAACACAGTACCTACATAATAACTAAGTAATTACATGAGGCAAAACTGATACACATGTGTAACTACATAGGCTGTACTTCTGTAATCCATCAGTGACACTAACTAAATCATCAGTAGTTATATTGTTGTTGCATATATGTTATTCCTTTGTAACTACACAGTTATTAGAGACACTTAATATAAAGTGGCGTATTTTGATAGGACTGTTTCTTTCCAAATACAGTATTCAACATTGTTTTGATAACTTTTTATGCAAGATGTGAAATACAGGGGAACCTGGGGGGTAGTGGACTGGGACCTCGTAATTAACCTTTTGGACACCCCCAAAGGTCTCAAAACAAAATTCTGGGGGTCCATGAAAATAAACTCATTATGATGTTATACTTTCTTATGCAAAAAAAGATGCTCAAATACAGATTCAGTGAAGCTCATTGTTTAGCTGTTAGTAATCTTCTGGTGTTCTTAACTAACTAGAGCTGCAGTACTGCTCTGCCTCAGGGTGGCGCTGTAGCAGACTTGTTCAACCAAGCTATGCTCCTTCATAGCTTAACAATGGTAACTACGCCCGGGACACCTCTGGGAAACTTTACAGTGTGCCACAGCATATTTGTACTTCTAAAAACAAGCCCAATTTCCCAAGAGACTGGAATTGTAACTCATCTTTCAAACCGAAGACCAAAGAAGATCTCAGTTAATGTGAGGAAGAGCGCACTACCAAACTAGAACAGAGCATTTCCAGAAGAACTGTTAAACCAAACATTTTGATGCCACTGAAGCTAGCATTGGCTGGAGTAGCCAGCCAACATCGGACCCCCCCATTCCAGGGGGTATTTCGCACACTGTTAGTAAGTAATCTAATCTTTGTTCTCCTTCTCAGAGTTTAAACTGGTCTTCGATTCAAAAGATGTTGGAAAGCTGTCTTACGTTCGACCTCTGGGATACAAAGACAGGAAGAGGAGCCTCCCGGATTTTAATCATCATTCTTTTTTTGGTGATGCCATCCTGCCCTGTTACCTCTCTCCTGAAACCAGTGCTGTTGCCATGGAGATCAGGTGGTTTAAAGGGACAGACTGCATTTACCTGTACCAGAATGGTCAGGTGACAGAGGGGAGGGGCTACGAGGGCAGAGTGAGCATGACGGACGAGCTGCCGAGAGGAAACGTGTCTCTAAGGCTGATAGATGCTCAAAAGTCAGACAGTGGAAAATACAGCTGTGAGGTCACTCATGGAGAGTACAAGGTGAAGACGAACGTAGTTCATCTGACCATATCAGGTACTGAAAACATACTCCTGTTATCATGATGCAGGTTTCATATAGTTTTATTATAGAACAAGTCATTGTAGAATTAATGTTAATATTTTTAGTTAGTGTTTTAGTTTTAAGTGATTGTATAGAATGCAATACTAACGTGATTTTTCAAAAAAGGACAGTTTCTGTTTAGTGTTAAATTATTTTCAGCTCTAGTTTTTGTATGTATCTCACTGCAATGCAGTTTAGTTTTCACTCTTGTTGCAGTGAACTTTTTAGTTTCGATTTTGATTTTTTTAATGAGTATGCTTTTTCATTGCTAGTTTTTGTATTACTAATAGTTTATGTGTAATAACCCTGATTTCCTCCTTATTGATTTTTTGTGAGACTTTAGAGATGGTGTTTTAAAAATGGCAGTCGTCTGACTCCAGTGACACTGCTTGACGATTCTGCGATGACTGCATTTGACTAATCAGTGGTTTTGCACACAGGCCAGTTTAAGAGGAGCCTGACCCCTTCCTATTTCTCCCATTATATCAAAAACATACATCATCTAAACCGCTTATCCTTCTGGGTCACTGGAGCCTATCCCAGCTGTCATTGGGCAGAAGGCAGGATACACCCTGGACAGGTCACCAGTCCATCGCAGGGCAGACAGACAGACAGACATACACATTCACTCACAGCTAGGGGCAATTTAGCGTGTCCAATTAGCTTAACAGTATGTTTTTGGACTGTGGGAGGAAACCGGAGTACCCGGAGGAAACCCACGCAGACACGGGGAGAACAGGAAAACTCCACACAGAAACGACCCCGGTTGCCCGGCTGGGAATCGAACCCAGGCCATTCTCGCTGTGAGACAAAAGCACTACCCACTGCGCCACTATGCTGCCCTATATATATCAAAAACATGACAGCAAAAAGCCAGAGGGCGTCTGCGAAAAAGTACTCAGTGAATGGAGCTAAATAAAATAATAACAATAACAATAATAATAATAATAGTTATTTATTTATTAATAAATAAATACATAATGTTCCTAAAAAGCTGTGCAGGAACATTCTTTAATTTTGGAAAGTAGAAGAATACATTTAAAAAATCGTAGAAAACCTATGAGCATTTTGCTTTTTTTCCATTAGCATTTCTCTTACCATTACTGATCCTGAGTGCTGATTGGTTAGCATTACTGCTACCAAGTGCTGATTGGTTAGCATTACTGCTACTGAGTGCTGATTGGTTAGCATTACTGCTACTGAGCACTGATTGGTTAGCATTACTGCTGCTGGGTGCTGATTGGTTAGCATTACTGCTACTGAATGCTGATTACATGAGCATCTGTGCTCAGAAAATTAGTGTATTTTTCCCATATAAAAATGACAAATCTTTTATAAACTATGCAGAAAAGCTCTGTGGGAGCCCATTCATTTTGTTGCTCAGGTGCGCCCTCTGACAAACCCGAAAGATATTAGTGGGCGTTAATTCTCACATTCTTGGTTTGCGTTACCAGCTCCAGTGCAATGATAATAGTCGACGCTGTCAAAAGTTGACATGAGATTCTTGCAGGTTCATCTTCTCACATGTAGAACTGTAAATGCTCAAGCATAAAAATAGTTCTTTGAGTGTATCTGGGTCTATCATTGTGGTTGGTATAGTATAGTGCCTTCTATGCTGTACTCTGGGTTTAATTAATAATTTGGGTAAGTACCCTACACTATACCAAGCCCTTGGGCAAGACTCCTAACACTACCTTCGCCTGTGTAAAATGATCAAAATTGTAAATCGCTCTGGATATGAGCGTCTGCAAAATGGCTGAAATGTAAATATATTGTCTTTACTAATGAACCTGCTACACAGGCCAGCGTCATATAAGCATGTAAGTTCTGCTCATGAGAGTTTAGGCTTAAACTCGTGAGGTTTCTATGATTTTTAAATATATTCTTCTACTTTCCAAAATTAAACAGCGGCACCTATTTTCGTTACATCCTTACTTACGTTAGGCGCATGGTATGGGCGGTTTGACCCTCTCAAAGTTGAAATGAGACCTACACTACTGCTTGAATTTTGCTTGAACTGAAGTTTCATTTTGGGTGGGCCTATAACAAATGTGCTGCCACTGGCCCTATCGTTAGGAAAATTTGAGTGTGAGAGGAGTTCCCCGGGAGAGAAGAAAAAAAATGAATAATCACCACTTGATCATTAATTATTCATTTTTAGATGTGTATAGTAACATTTGAACATTGAGAATTTCACTAACTGCACATTGTTGTTTTTTTTTACCACAGCCTCTTATTCACGTGAGTTTTCTATTTCTACTCTCTGGACACTTTTCACACTGTACACGCTCTCTTTTGAGATGTTTAGAAATTGCTTCTTTATACAGAAAACCTTTAGTCACATTTACATTAAGGTGTATTTCACACACATGATTTGATGTGATTTTTCAGAGTAGCATTCAAGGAATTAAATTAATTATTAGATTGTTTATCAATATTCCACCATAAACTCCTGCACTGACCTCAAACATTTTCATACTAACAATAACACAGGAGGAAATCATGGAGCTGTAAAGGAGCATAAGTGAAACTCATAAAGCCTATATTTCACAAAGCAGGACTTCTCAGTTAGCCAGATAACTTAAAGGTGGAGTAAGTGACGTTAATCCAATACACCTTTTATCAAATTTTGCCAATACCTCTTCACGGTCTGCCAGCTCTCCATTCTGTTGAAATCCGGTGTTTGTACACAGCCCTGCCTCTGTAAATAGGGAAATAAACAAAGTACCTCGGGCTGAGCCACACAACACTATTCCAGCAAATCAGCAAGAGGGGGCGCTTGTGCTCATGCACGGGATGGGGGAAGGGGAGGGGCTATGTGCTGAACTCCATGGATTGTCAAGAAGGAGAGCTGGCCGAGAAACAGCCAAAGAGGAGACAATCTGAAGAGCCAAGATTGCGAGAGAAGTTCTTAGATCAGGCCAAGGCATTTCAGTGGTGGAGAGCTGACAAGGTTAAAGTCAACTTCCTGTTTGCCAGCTTTTTGTTCAAATTTTTCCGTTCTACATTAAATGATGCAGCAGCTTTATTCTGGTCCCTGAGTCTCCTGCACCATTTACAGGAAAATTCAAACAAGAAGCTGGCAAATAAGAAGCTGACTTTAGCTTCACCGAGAGTCAAAAGACATTAAAAGGGATGAGGAGGCTGCTGAATCACAAGGTCAGTTTTGTTTTGTCCCATTTGCTAAAGTTTTTGATAGCCAATCCCAGCTGGGTACCTTCACAGCAGCAACTACAGCAATAGCTCTTTAACCCACAACCTACACTGTATTTCCAAACGTATTCACTCACCCATCCAAATAATTGAATTCAGGTGTTCCAATGACTTCCATGGCCACAGGTGTATAAACCAAGCACCTAGGCCTGCAGACTGCTTCTACAGACATTAGTGAAAGAATGGGTCTCAGGAGCTCAGAGAATTCCAGCGTGGTACAGTGATCGGATGCCACCTGTGCAACAAGTCCAGTTGTGAAATTTCCTCACTACTAAATATTCCACAGTCAACTGTCAGTGGTATTATAACAAAGTGGAAGCGATTGGGAACGACAGCAACTCAGCCACGAAGTGGTCGGCCACGTAAAATGACAGAGCGGGGTCGGCGGATGCTGAGGCATGTAGTGCACAGAGGTCACCAACTTTCTGCAGAGTCAATCACTACAGACCTCCAAACTTCATGTGGCCTTCAGATCAGCTCAAGAACAGCGTAGAGAGCTTCATGGAATGGGTTTCCATGGCCGAGCAGCTGCATCCAAGCCTTGCATCACCAAGCACAATGCAAAGTGTCGAATGCAGTGGTGTAAAGCGCCGCCACTGGACTGTAGAGCAGTGAAGACGTGTTCTCTGGAGTGACCAATCACGCTTCTCCGTCTGGCAATCCAATGGACAAGTCTGGGTTTGGCGGTTGCCAGGAGACGGTACTTGTCTGACTGCATTGTGCCGAGTGTAAAGTTTGGTGGGGGAGATTATCGTGTGGGGATGTTTTTCAGGAGTTGGGCTCGGCCCCTTAGTTCCAGTGAAAGGGGCTCTTAATGCTTCAGCAGACCAAGAGATTTTGGACAATTTCATGCTCCCAACCTTGTGGGAACAGTTTGGGGACGGCCCCTTCCTGTTCCAATATGACTGTGCACCAGTGCACAAAGCAGCTCCATAAAGACATGGATGAGCGAGTTTGGTGTGGAAGAACGTGACTGACCTCAACCCGATAGAACACCTTTGGGATGAATCAATCTCCGCGACTGCGAGCCAGGCCTTTTCGTCCAACATCAGTGTCTGACCTCACAAATGTGCTTCTGGAAGAATGGTCAAAAATTCCCATAAACACTCCTACACCTTGTGGACAGCCTTCCCAGAAGAGTTGAAGCTGTTTTAGCAGCAAAGGGTGGGCCGACACCATATTAAACCCTATGGATTAAGAATGGGATGTCACTGAAGTTCATATGCGTGTGAAGGCAGACGAGACAATACTTTTGGAATATGGTGTAGCTAACATTAGTTATGCTACTTGCTGTGTCATTGTTCTTTCTACTGTTATATCATAGTATTTGTCTGTACAAAGGGTGTAATGGCCATGAAGACTGAAAAACAAGTTTGCTAGCCCAGTGTCATTCGCCTTGGCAATGCACATCCATGAATTTGGGGGGGCGGAGCTTCTAAAGGAGCACTAAAGGGAGGGGTGTTTTGCTGTTAAGTTCAAATATCAACAGTCTTTTTCCAGAATCGCTGACTCCACCTTTAGTCCCAAAGTTAAGGATTGTCCATAAGAATGTCCCTCAGTTCTTTTTCTATTGGACAGGCTTGACATTAGGCTTATCACACGAAACTGAGAAATCCTAGGGATATTTCACAAAGCAAGATTTCTCGGTTTGGCCAGATGACTTAGGTCTGAAATAAAGACTGCCCAATAGGAAAAGAGCCAAGGGATATTCCTGTTGGACAATCCTCAACTTTGGGTAAGTTATCTGGCTAACTCAGAAATCTTGCTTTGTGAAATACCCCACTGTTATTTATTTTTTTATCCAATTATTTGCTAGCTTAAGTGGCTTTTACAGCAGGACATAAAGTTTTGTAAAAAGACACAAACTTGTAAACATATTTATAAGATTTAAGAAAATCAGATCACTTCGCGTCACTCCTACACTATGAAATCAATAAAAAATACATTCAATACTCATCTATCCTTAACAAAATGAAATAAAATAAAAAACAATAAAGGAAATAGCCTTTCAGTTTACCTGAAGAGAATAAATAATCAGTAATCATCGACTAACTATTTGATTATTCTTTTGTTAAATGTGTATAATAAGATGTATTTGAACATGAAGAATCTCAGTAATTGCACTTTTTTTGTTTTATTCCACAGAGACTCATTCAGGTGAGTATTACATTTCTACTCCATCCTTCGTGCAACGGAGGCTGGTCTTATGTGGTGTTTTCTCCTTGATGCAGCATGCAATGTACCACAGTACATAACACACATAATAATATATATATATCAGGCATAACATTATGACCACCTCCTTGTTTCTACGCTCATTATCCATTTTATCAGCTCCACTTACTATATAAGTGTATCATTCTAAGCACAACACACACTAACACACCACCACCACGTCAGTGTTACTGCAGTGCTGAGAATGACCCACCACCCAAATAGTAGCTGCTCTGTGAGGGTCCATGGGGGTCCTGACCACTGAAGAACAGGGTAAAAGGGGGCTAACAAAGTATGCAGAGAAACAGATGGACTACAGTCTGTAACTGTAGAACTACAAAGTGCACCTATATAGTAAGTGGAGCTGATAAAATGGATAATGAGCGTAGAAACAAGGAGGTGGTCATAATGTTATGCCTGATCAGTTTTTATAAGTTAGAGATGAAGAAGAAAAAAATTCTGTGAAATTGTAAAATGAAAGTGTAATTTTGCAGATGATGCAGTTCCGTCAGCATTTTTTATTTCATTATTATTGATGTTTAATGTGTATAATAAGATGTTTTCTTTTGAACATGAAGAATCTCACTAACTTCACGTCATCTATTCTTTTGTTCTTCAGGAATTTTGCCATGTGAGTATTAAATTTCCACTGAAATCTCTTCACACTAATTACTCTCTCTTTTCAGAAAGATGTTTATAAATTGCTTCTTTATATGGAAAACCTCCATAGTCACATTTATATTAAATTTATTTTCATACATTTATATTAAAGCCTCTGCACCATGATTTGTCCTTCACTGACCCCAGATATCCTCATACTGACATCATCACTGTGGAGGGCACAACAACAACAACAACAACGACAACAACACCAACAATAACAATAATATCAATGATGTTTGCAGCAATTAATTCTGTTTAGTAAAATGTTGCTGAACCGCTATGATGATGAAATAAAAAATATATTAGACTTATTTATGAAGAGAATTCTTACAAAAAGTTATTATTACAAAAAAAATTTACCAGCTGATGATTATTTGACTATTATAGTTAAATGTGTATAATAGGATGTTGAATTTAAAGTGAAAATTCTGAGTAAACTCACTTTATCTGTTGTGTTATTTCACAGGGCGTCCGACAGGTCAGTATTATAGCTCTCTTTTCTGAACACATTTCACACTGAACAATCTCCCTTTTAATAAAGATGGGTATAAATTGCTTCTTTATACAGAAAAACACTTTTATATTATGGGCTCTTTTATACACCATGATTTGCTGTGTTTTTAGAATGACATTTAAAAAATTTAGTATATTACAATGATCTGGGTGCGTTTCCCAAAATCTTAGCTCTAACTATGTCGGCAAGTTCCATCAAAATACCGTCGTTAGGTGAGCAAGTGTTCCCCAAAAACCTCCATTCGAACAGTCATGCGTCGGAGAGCTGAGTAGCTCCGAGGCTTCAGTCAGCACCTTAGTTTCATGTTAGTTCCTGATTAATACGTCATCAATTCTGAATGTCTGAATCAATAAAGGCAAACACTCTGCGAAGTTTGTGTATTTTGTTCACAATCTTGTTGTTAAAATCATAACTTGTGTATCGGTTCTCTTACTTTTAAGAGACTTCTTGTTATAACACGCTATTGTGTGTGTATCTTTGTTGTATTTATGGAAGTATTATTGAACCAGAGTAGCTTGTATGGGTAATAAGGAATAGTTGAGGTCATCATGCATATAGTCCCGTGGTGCATATGATATGGGCAACGTAGCCCTGTAATGAAACAGCTTTGTTCAGAAAAACAAAGATAGAGAAGAGAAAATAAATGTAGGCCTCATCAAAACAAAACTGGAATGAACAAGTCATATTGGTCATATTACAAACATATTATTTCTTTATATGGGAGTAGAAAAATATAGAGATTAACTAATTATATATAAACTATACCATCTCAAATGACCTAACATGCTGCCCCACGCAGTGCTCTATGTGAATCCTTTAGCATGTTGTGAACTTTTACATAAATTTGACCTAAAATGTTCCCAAATTTTCAAAAGTATGTGGAGCACTAATACCTGTTAATCAGCCCTGCACATTGACTTGGAGGAATCTTGGCCCATCCCTGCAGAACGGCTTCAGCTTTATGTCGGTCAGCTTGCTTGTGTGAGCGCCACATTTTAGGTCCACAATATTTTTGGATTAAGGTCTGGACCTAAACTCAGCCATTCCAAAATGCAAAATTTGCTTCAACCAAACTGATGTTTTTAAGGTTGTTCTCTTTCTGTCTTTCTGTTGAGGTTCAGTTCATGGATGGATGCCCTAAAATTTCCCTGTCGAATTTCTTGAGACAATCCAGATTTCATAACTTCGTCTAATGATGGCTAGCCGACCTGGTCCAATAGCAGCACAACAGCCCCAAACTGTGATACTGCCACCACCATGTTTAACAGTAGTGATGAGAATCTTATGCTGGGATGCTGTGTTTGGCTTTTGGCAAACATAACATCTCTCATTCAAGCCATAAAGATCCATTTTCACCGTATCCGTCCACATTATTTCAGTAGTCTTCTGGATCACCCTGGTGGTCTTTAGGAAACTTTAAACAGGCAGAAATGTTGTTCCTGTAGAGTAGTGGCTTTCTCTGAGCTATAATTCCATACATACTATTCTTGTTCAGTGTTTTCCAGATAGTGGACTGAATGACAACATTAGCCAGTGTAAGAGAGGCCTGCAGGTCCTTAGATGTTATCCTGGGTTTCTTTGTGAATATTATACACCTTAGTCTTGGAGTCATTCTTGCTGGATGACCACTCCTGGGAAGATAACAGTGTTGTTGAATTTCCTACGTTTGTACACAGTTTGCCTGACAGAGGATTGATGAAGTCCAAACTCTTTAGGAATAGTTCTGGAACCTCTTCCAGCCTAATAAACAGTGCCAACTGTTTTTTTTTGAGGTCATCAGAAAACTCCTTTGACTGAGGCATTGCACGCCCTCACAAATGTGTGTGGTAAAGATCAGACTTTGATGGTGATGATGGACAGCTATGTTTGTCATCTATACAACATATATATATATATATATATATATATGATCTCATTTTAAGTTGAACTTACACAGACATTCACAAAATACTTTCAAGCAGCCCTGTATGTGACAATATGAACACTAATAATAACAAAACCTCATATCTCCAAAATGGTAACTTAACAGGAGAAGGAAAAAACACACTTTACTTTCAATGTAAGTCAATGGAACCATACTTTTTAATTGCAAACAATGCAAAGAGTCATTTTCAAAATGTGTCAAAAACTGAGAAATAACAAAAAATGGAGGTACAATGTTCTGTTTCGACAGTAGCGATTCATATATATATATCATATTTATTTATATAACATTCTAAAAACATGCAACATGTGCAGTGTTATAGAAGGTTAACAACCAAAAATCTGATATGCTGATATGAATTGAACCTGGAACCATCTGTCTTCCACATCTTTAACACAGTGCAGCAGATTAACACGTTGAGCTATCAGTGACCATATGAATGTTCTATGTGTTTGGATATAAATCATTCTTTTTAACAGAATTAAAAAGAAACAAAATTAGAAACGATATTTTTAACACTCTTTTTTTTGCAAAGTAAACATTTTATTAAGCCAAGAATGAAGTCAATGTAGCCCAACCTCAATGCTGTGGCCTGGACCAGCATTTGTATATTATATTGGTTTTAATGGGTTTCTTAAAAGCTTAATTTTGGCTCTTGTTCACGATTAAGCGTTTCCACTTTATCTGCACAAGTTCGGCTGCCGTTCAGAGGCATTTTGACATTTTAAACCACAGATCAAACTACTGCAGTTCAAACTAAGGTGATTCTAACTAACGTGATTTAAAATACTGTGGTCTGAATGAGCTGTGACGGTTTTGGGAAACAGCCCGTACTATGTTGATAGTTTAACGGCCCATTAATTATGTTGATTCGGTGATGACCTGTGTCATTGTTTGGGAAACGCACCTCTATTACTATTCATGGAAAACATGCCATTCTTCTTCTTCTTCTTCTTATTATTATTATTATTATTTATTTGTAGCTGTAGTAATAATAATACGAGTTTTACAGCAAAACACAAAATAATGCAGTAAAAACTTGTTTAGGACAATGAAATCAGTTTAATTTACGCTTTCTATATTGATGAAATTCAGACACATGCACTGAATGATTAATAAACACAACTCTAATCTGTCGCTCATTATTATTACTAATGTTTCTGAGATGCTGAGCATATCACGAATGTCATTAACTGCACTTACTTAATCTTTTTTGTAGATGATGATGAAAGTTTATATCGCGGTCGTATAGAACCAGTACCAGGTATGTAATATATACAACCTCAGAAGAGTCTCATTCACTTATTTGGTAAGAAGCAGAAACTGCTTTCTCTCTGCATCTTCATGGATTAGTTCAGAGCTCAGGTTGATATCAGTGTAATTCTGCCCTGATAGCCGATTGTGTTTGTTTATTATTTAAATCTAAATAAATTCATTCACAGTTAGGTTTTTTCTCACTGTTTATCACATTTAAATGTGCATTTTCCACAACTGATTCCATATTGATAGTTAAAATGACACCTGATTCTGAGTGCTTTAAATCAGGGGCCCAGATTTCTGATTGCTCAAATGAATGAAAAAGAATCAGTAATTCCCAACTGATTATTATTATTAATACTCAGTTTTTCTACTAGAATGTCCTCTAAACAGGCCCAGATCATCCTATGGGTTTTATGGGCGCGTGTCCAGGGGCCTGAGACAGTAGGGCGCACCTGCAAGAAATTCTGAGAAAATCTACAGCTGTAGCTGTTTTAATTTTTATACTGTTTATCTTGAGCTAACTCAGCTTGAGGACTCCAGAGTTCACCCAACTAGACATGTTAATACAGGACTTTAGAAGTTAAAACAAGAAGTGCTTTTTACAGTTTACTAAAGCACACAAATCTGAGTAATTTGATGAATTGGTGAGTAGTGCAGAGAACTGAGCATTCATCCCCACCAGGAGGTTGTGAGTTTGAACCACAGTGATGCCACAGCTATTCATAACTGGGAGCCCAAGAAGAGAAAATGCCTTGTGGGACTGTCTGGTGGAAAGAATTCCAGCTAGTGGGAAAACGGAATAAAAAAAACATCCATTCTATTGTTTAACTAACTAAGATGCAGAACTAAAAATGGGAGAACTTTCAACTAAACTAAGAAGTTAACTCAAGAAAAGCAGTGTATTCAGTTACCTTAAAGTTTTAAGTGGAGTCAATTTCCATTTTTAACCATGTAGTTTTAAAAGGTTTGGTCCTAAATGTTTTTGTTTTTAAAATTCATTCATAGTGGAGGGATACATGCAGGATGTTATGAGGCAAAATAGTCCCCAAAGAATACTTATTTTTCAGGTTTACCACTATTTTGCCATCATCATCATTCCATATAAACTCAGAAGACACATGTAGGATCACTGGTGGTTTTGGATAATAAATAAAATGACTTCTCTAGAAAGGTGACTGCCAAAGCTCTCTTTAGATCACTACCAATTTTCAGCAGCGGCTGTCATTATGGAAATGTTTACATGACTGAACACCAACGTCAACCATGTACCGTCCCCACATTTCCATAAATTCTGCAGTTAGGCCCAGAACAGTGGTTGTTTTTGTCAATGCCAACATGTAAACGATCTGTTATGTAGAGCTTCAGACCAGGTAGGAGTCAAGTGGAAGTTTATTGAGAGTAAAATCAAGAGGAATGAGCCAAAAAGTCAAGTAAGGTCAACCAAATCAAAAAATACCAAAAGCAGACAGTCTCAAATGCTAGATAGAATTCGCAGTCGATATTCCAAAATACAGAGTCCAAGAAAAAAACAAGGCAACAAGAAAACACAGCTCAGAACTGCAAGGGGAAAAACCAAACAAGACTTCACAAGATGTAACTGAAAACACAGGGTTTCAATACTTAAACAAAACTGCTTCTGATTACAATCAGGTGCATGATCTGACTTAGTATTCAGGCGACAGTGACCTCTGCTGGCGAGGAGGGGCGTCCGTCAGCAGCAGGTGTGTCACAAACATTACTTTGCTCCTGTAGTAAGTGCAGTAGTTTTGCTCTAGACATCTCTGCCCACTCCTGTAAAAGGTGGCACTGTGATTAATCGGCTTTCAGGAGTCACAATAAATGTTTCCTTCCTCTGGTTATGGTAATAGTGAGTCATTTATATTCACAAATATAGCTTAAAGTTGTGTAGACATATACAGTTATTTGCTGCAATGAACCTTTGTGAGAGACTGTATCTTCAGTTATTTAAATGAATTGATATTACCTCATAATGCTTTCATGAAAAATTCACTTTATATTTTGCTTTTATGTGTTATAAAGTATACACCAAATCCAATTCCACTAATCCATCTGCTTCTGTTTAATAAACTTTTTTCCCACAGAAAAACCAGGAAGGCGGTGGAGTAGTCCATATGAGATTCCAAACAGTAAGTCAGTATTTACTGTCTCTCTGGATGCACCGTGTGACTCAGATATTAAGGTAGAATCTGCATGATGGAGAAAAAAGATTTGTAATTTATTGTGGTTGTTATCTGTGTTTGTTGTGGCTGATCTAGAATCAGTTCATAAGCTGAATTCTGATAAACTAGATGGGATAAAACCTGCAAAACTGTGAGCTTCTGAAGCTTCTGAGGTGCTGATTTTTTTTAGCATATTTGGATATCATTCTGGTCAATATGTGTAAATTATCACTGCAATCATCATTGTTTGTAAATGAGACAAACGCCTACTACTTGGTTTATGTGTGAAACCGATGTAGAACATGGTTTCTGCGGACTGTCATCACCGCTATGAGAGTGATTGACTACAAACTACATTGCAAGTGGCAATCATCGGGGTCCAAGCATTATGCACTTTATGGTGCCTGTAAACCATTAACAATTACCAATAGATGTGGGCTCTCAAAAGGAGAAGTCTGCTAATTTCATACACACTGACCTTTTGACCTGGGTATAGTAAGCAAGAGATTTTAAACAAATAAGCCAAACTACCTGGAAAACTTTGACATTTTTTTGGACATTTGAATATGACTTGTATTGGATAGTTGTACAGCAATTACTCCTGTATTTTAGTCTTACTGTGCATTTATAGCTTAGTTCTCTTGGTCTGGACCAAAATAGAAAATTATACATTGTTGATTTTTTTCTGGTTCACTATAACTCTGATAATGTCCACCGAACTTTCTGAATCATGGTGATCTCTGTTCTGTTTGGGCTTGCTGGTTTTATTTATGTTTTATTTCACTTGGATTGAACTGTGTTCAGGTCTGTACTGACCTTTGTTGAGGTCTGCATTGAACCGTGTTCGTTGCAGACCAGTTTGTACTGAACTGTGCTTAAATTTGTATGGAACTGTGTTCAGCTTAGTATTGAACTGTGTTCATGTCTGTATTGAACCATGTTGTGTTTTGTATTTAACTGTGTTCAGGTTTGTAATGAATTGTGTTCAGGTTTGTATTTAACTGTGTTCAGGTTTGTATTTAACTGTGTTCAGGTTTGCATTGAACTGTGTTCAGGTTTGTATTTAACTGTGTTCAGGTTTGTATTGAACTGTGTTCAGGTTTGTATTGAACTGTGTTCAGGTTTTCATTGAACTGTTTTCAGGTTTGTATTGAACTGTGTTCAATTCTGATTCTCTCAGCTTCAGTAACGTCTCCTCTGTTTCTACAGTGTGAGGAGAGAAACAATAGGAGAGAGAGGGACAGGAGAAGAAGAAGAAGAAGAAGAAGAAGAAGAAGAAGAAGGGATGAGTGGAATATAGAGAGATGATTGGACGGCTGGTAGAGAAGAGAGAGCCTTTGTATTGAGGAGACGGCTCTAGAGATAAAAGAAAGATTGAGTAGTTTAGAGAGAAGAAACGAGAGCAACATGAACTAGAATGATCATGTTATTGCATTACTGATTTAACATGCATTCATATTCATGTTTTACATGTCAACAATGTCAATATTATATGAACTACTGAAGGGTGTGAAAACTCATACATCACTGATCCTCTGAAGAGAATCTTTTATCTGTAGTTCACAGGTAGATTTGTAGTCATTACAGGTAACGTCTGATACATGCTGGATGTATAACATGTTGGATATTAAAGTACAGAATAACTTGCATAAGAACTACCAGGTATGTACAGAAGTACTTGGTGCTACAGTACAATAATTACTCAGAGTTCAGTGTGTAATTATGTAATATTCATAAATAATACTTGGTGAATACCCTGCAAGATGAATATATAAGTACTTGGAGGCTAACAAGAGAAATTGCAGTATGCATAAATATAATTTGAATAAAGATAGGTTGTTTTATTTTTCTTTATTTATTTCATATTTTTTCTTTATTTTTAGATATTTTCTGTCTATTTTAGTTACTTTTTCCTCATGTTAAATTGCAGAGCGCACCATTGACTAATCACATAGCATATGTCTCCTTCAATTAGGTGTTTCCTGACTTGTTTCCCGGTTCTTTTCCCTAGTGAGGGCACAAACAGCTACTTTTGTGGGTTTACAACACGATGTCTATTGTCCCCAGTATAGGCACAAACAGCCACTTGTATACCTCACAACAGGATGCATGTTGTCCTGACATAATCCTTAAAGAGGACCTGTTATGCTTTTCTGTTTTTTCTCTTTCCTTTAGTGTGTTGTATCTTTTTGTGCATGTAAACGTTCTGCGCCCCAAAGCTCAGCGTTCCCTCCAGAGGGACAAATTCTCTCCCACAGAACCCACTTTTCTCAGCTGCCTGAAACGCCTCGTTGGAATTCCAGCCCTTTCCTTTGTTACAGGATGACATCAGATGACACAGTCCTTACTGCCCGCCTACCGGTGAGCTCGGCCCCCTCTCACAGTGCACAGCGGCTGCTGGAGGAGGAAGAGTGTGTTCAGTGCTGTAGAGTGTGGAGATGCTGACCGGACTTTCAGGATCCACTCTGGATCAAACGGATCCAGCAGAGCCGATGCCACTGGAGAAACAGCCACAGAGTTTACAGCTGCTCAGAAGAGAAGAGTCTGTCTGCAGACTACAAGACAGGGGTGGAACCTAGAGGGGCAGAACCGCTCTGGAGGAGACCGATCAGAACAGAGTGGGCAAGGTGACCAATCAGAGCACACTGGGCTCATCAGGAGGTGGGGCTTAAAGACACAGGAGCTCTAACAGAGCGTTTCAGACAGAGGGTGAATAGAGATGTGCAGTGTTTTTGGAACATTGAAGCCGTTAATCTATTCTAAAGCCCAGAATTTATTTTATTTATAAAATAAAATGATGAACACTGAAATTGAGCATAGTAGCCCCCCTTTAACAGATGAACCAATAGCTGCAGGAAAATACTTAGCATAAAGTCCTGCATGGAGAACTGTTAGTAGACTGGGTTTTAAAAAGGTGGACAGTGTGCTCTTTGAATAAAGACCATCATTTCTGCTCTCCTGAAGTCTCTTCTTTAGGCAAAGAAAAAGATTTACAACAGATTCAGAACTGTCCCAGTCTATGGTGGCTCTCTGTCCCTTTTGTGTTAAGCTCTTTTAATTGCATTCTGGTGTTTACATTCTCCATATTCTCCATATTTAGGCCTTAATGTCATAGTTAACTCTTTTTCCATGTGAGGTTGGTTGTTCATGATCACATTAATAATTTTTCCTTTTTTATTGTTGTCAGTCTTTTATTATTTTTCTTCAGTACTGTTGGTTTTATGCTTGTGTGATGCCAAAAAGAGGTTTTCTATTTAATTGTAAAACTTCTTGATTTGAACTTTTGTTCTTGTGTTTCTACTTTGAGGGAACGATATCATTGGAATTTCAGATGGGTGCTTACATTTTCACCCTGTTAATGTTTTATTTAGATTAAGTTTAAATTTAGAACTGTCTTTGGAATAGCATTTAAATCACAGTAAAATTGCTGTACATTTACAGTATTTACAGTAAAATACTGGTTTGTTGTTTTACAGGATCATAAAGTAATTCTTTATACATTTAATAACCAAAATATAAAAATGTCAAATATTACAAAAATTATACACATTCCCCCTTCAGGCCGCCCCCAAATATTTAAATTAGAATTTACTAACCCTTATTCATAAAGAATCTTTCATGTAAGCAAAGCAATGATTGACACGCAGTAGTTCAATAAGTTTAAAAAGCTGATAGAAATTACACAAAATTGATTTTGAAACGGATTATGTTATTTTACCTAAAAATCTAGTTCTGCTGTGGAGAGATAATTCAGGCCTGATTCTCACCCCAAACAGAGCATGAGGAGAATTTTGAGGTTAAAACAAAGGACTCTAAATGTCATGTCTGTACATTTTGCTGAAATGTCTAAATTGGAGCATTTTGTTTCGACAGTTGACAGAGCTTTGCACAAAATTGTTTCTATTTTCATTGTTATTTTTGTTGATTTTTGTTAGGAAAAACCTGGAATGATTGACTTTTGCCATTACTTAGTCTAAATTTTTGTTGGACATCACGCCTTTGGTTGTGTGGTTTGATTGTTGGTTACGCTTGAACTCACTTTTTGGTGATCTTTTTGTATATTTACAGCTTTTCATTTATATGTTTCTTTCTAGCTCATGATTAAATGCAGTGTCTTATTCACACTGTTTATCAGTTCATCAGTTGGGCTTGTGTGTCAGGTGGAGATTCACAAACATTCTGACAATCGCGCTTTGCAAGTAGCTAAAAAGTAGCCACTACTTTTAAAAAAGTAGCTAAAAAGTAGCCACTACTTTTTCTGGAAAAGTAGCTAAATTGTAACTTGCTACAAATTTTGAGAAAGTAGCTACAAAGTAGCTAACTACTAATTTTTCAGTAGCAATCCCAACCCTGATTATGGATTAATTAAAAGTCGATTCAAGTCAGTACAGTTTTGCTAATTTTTAAATATGTAGATCTGAAATCTGCGTTTTTGTGTATATAGTAAAAAGCTCAAACTCTCCAAAACAATAAGTCTGAAACTGTCTATATAGTATGTTTCCAGTTTTATCAGCTTATTACTAAGCGGAACTGAATTTAATCTGTTCTTATATTAGACCATTTTATTATTTACAGGTGCTGTAAGGAAAATTCCCCAACATGCAAAAGCTACCAATGTGGAAACTGAATGCAGAGACAGTTGGTTTGTGTTGGGCATTTCATAAGTATTTATATATTCTTTATTATCTGGAACTGTACTTAATTCCATTACGACTTGGATTCATTTCAGTAATTTGTGTGAGCTTTATGAGATCATGTTTAATTAACAGTGTCTTGTGTCTCCTTTGTGTTTGGGTCCAAAACCAGAGCTAAAGTTTTGCTTTTAATAACAGTGAAATGTAATTTTTTAATAATACAATAATCATTTTCATGTTTTTACATAATACTACTTATAAGAGTGAATCTATTCATACCATAAAAATTTTAATATTCAGAAAATTATGTTAATTAAGCACTAAAACTGACCAATAGTAAAGGCAGAAACACAGTCTATTATTATAAGTCATTTGCCAAGTCCGGGCCAAGTCTGCTGGCCCAACTTTGGGCCGATGTTCAAAAAGACATTGGCCCTAGTCCAGCTGCTGACTTTGGCCCAGCTTCAGGGAGAGTCAGCCAATGGATTAAGGCCAGCATGCATTGACTGTATGGGTAGGTGGAACTTATATGCAGAACAGTAATCTTTTTTATTTGAGCGTTGTCTCGTTCGTAGGGAAGATTTCAACCACTACCCCTTTTAAGTTCCGAGGGGCAAGGTGACACTCAAAACCAAGGGGTAGAGGTAAAAACTAGAAACATGAATTTCCTGAAAGAAGTGCAGAATGGTCAGGTAGCTTAAATGGTGCCACCTTAAATTCAATGCCACCTTAAATTTACTGATTCCTTTAAATTTACTGCCACCATAAATTTACATATACCTTAAATTCACTACCTTAGAGGTGTGCGTTTGTGTAGTGTGTATGTGTGTGTTTTGTGTGTGGTGTGTTGAGTGTCTTTGTGGAGTATGTGGTGTGTTGATTGTGTGTTAGTGTATTTGTATCATCGTGACACAAGAAAGGTGCCAAAACTTTTGTACTCCATAAATTCATTAATTTAACTCACAGTTCAATTTACTTACTTTTGCTTTTACTTTAGCTTTGTAAACCAGTTTAGTAAATAATTCTAGTCCAGCACGGTTTCAGCAACATTTTCCATACAATCATTTTACATTAGGCCTATTTTTTTTTTTCTCTCAGTTGTTTGATATATTTGTCTTAGTTCATTTTCTAAAATAAAAGTCTGTATGCATTTAAAATCTCTTTGGGGAGATTAAAACTAGGGCTGTATGCAAGACCATAATCTTGGTGGTCTGAGGGTGGACCAGTAGCAACAAACGGTCAGTGGGGTACCGACCTTATGAAGCCAGCGGACGGACACATGCTCTCTATCCGGGACCGAACAATCTGGAGTGGGAAGAGTGTTGGTATCTCGAAAACCGTGGGACGAGTTTATCCGACAGAAAGATAAGAATAATAAAAAAAAAGAAGAATAATGTTCTTAAACGATGCTTTGCAACCATAATAAGAAATGGGATTGGGCCAAGGTGTGCGCTGGAGAACACCTGAAAGGGCTTATGTGACATTAGATGGACTAGATGGACAGAGCTCGTGTCAGAGAGGGAGAACAGGCAAAGGAGACTTTTACTGGCTTTAATTCAGGACTGGTAGTTGTTTCACTGTTCTGATCATAACCGGATGGGGGGCGGTTCCTAATCTTCCGACACCCCAACCGACACAGTCGCGTGTTGGGGCAGAAAGCGAAACCTCGTTTGTCATCGATCACGTGGTTCTCGTGGTTCCACGCTTAGTCCGGATTCCCGAATCGCGCCTCGGTTTCAGACGTAGCACCACGAGCTGGAAGTGCTCGTTTCAGAGTGACGCCGCTTCCGCTAGAACAACAATAACAACGATTGCTGCGTAGAGCGCGTGCAGCTTACCCGCGTGCTCGAGCTCGAGGCCAAAACAACCTCGTCTCAGTTTCATAGGAGAGGTAGGTTTGTGCGGTTAGGAGGGAGGAAGGAATGAACTCTGCCGGACGGAGGAGAAGAACCTCTGTGTCCGCCTTTCTCCAGTCTGGGCTCTGAAGCTGCTGCTGGAGTTGTGGCCACGTGACTCAGTGCTGCTGTTTTTCCTGTTTCAGTTTCTGTCCTTTTCTCTGGGCAGGTGTTTGTGGAATGTGTCACAGTGTGAACTGTACTGGGTGTGTAACCTTCAGGTCTGCTAGGCAGTCGGTCACCTTAACATTAGTTTGCAGTTCTAAGAATTTAAGGTAGACTTTCCCTCTATGTTAAGGACCCAGCACAACATGGCAGAACATCTCTTCTTCACTTTCATTTGTTTTCTTTTCTGGACTATTAACCCTCTACTGCACACATAACAGCAATAAAAAAAAAAATAAAAATAAATAATATATATATATATATATATATATATATATATTCAACTCACTTTTTGCATAAAAATCGTCCAAATTCAAAAAAACAAAAAAAAAAAATAGTAGTAATAATGTGTGCAGGGGTCCTTTTGGAGTATGTTGCCTTCCCTAATAGCAAGAGGATAGTGGGCTACTGATGGTCCACTAAAGGCAAAGCTGGTGGTCCACTGGTGTTGTGTTTTCTGGGCGGCCCACTGGTGGTTAAGCAGACTATTATTAATTTATTAGTTTATTAATTTATTATATTATTACTAAAATTAGACAAAATTCCACTTATCATCGCTCATTTTTCATTCACAGTCCAATTTACTTATTTTTGCTTGTACTCTATCTGCGTAAATTAGTTTGGTAAACAATTTTAATCTAGTACAGTGTCAGCAACATTTTCAAGTCATCTTTTTTCTCTTAGTTGTTTGTAATATTTAGCTTAGTTTATTTTCTAAAATAAAAGTCTGTGTGTCTTTAAAGTCAGTTTGAGGAGATTAAAAACTAGGTAGATTGTATGCAGGACAATAATCTGAGCTGTCTGATTGTGGACCAGCAGCGGCAAACAGTCAGCAGGGTGCCGACCTTATCAAGGCAGCGGACTGATATCCACTCGCTATCTGGGTTGAAGTAACAATGTGCGACCGTGGGAAGAAATGATAGAGCCGTGTTCCCTGAAGTGTTGAGATCTGGCTCGTGACTGGCTAAATCCATTCCACTGTCGCACAGTGTTGCTTCTAGGCAACAAACATATTTCTGCAAATTCTCAAAAAACAAATTGATACTGAATGTTAAAGAGGTTTAAAAGTGCTCACTAAGAGAGAGTATGACCAAGTACATGCTTTTTATTGACTTACTCAAACTCGTCTCTTTATTGTTAACCCTATCATTGACTTTAAATATTTAATGTTATTGTAAAGTGAGGAAAATTAGTTTGTTGCCCTGAGGCAACATCATGCAGTAGAGGGTTAAATATATTTTATGAAGTTTTGCCTTTGTTTACCACTGATCATAAATGCTGAAAAGCACTGAAAATATTCCTTTATCTTTCTTTCAGAAAGCAGTTGGCACCAAAAGACTAGGTAAGTGACATGAAAAAAAACTTTGTTTTTTTCACTGGCAGATCTGAGGACTCTGCATTGGTGTTTTTTCCTGTTCTAGCGAATCTGACTGGGTTAGGCTCGATACCTGATGGCTTGAAACATCAGTTGGGAGAACAAAAATGTGCGAAACATCAGGTGTGCAGGACCGGCATTAAAACCCACTGCTTTATACACTCTTAAAACGGATGTGTTAAAAACAGCACATTCTGTTTCCTACTAGACACCTCAGTGTGTGCAGATGGAGACGACACATTCTGTGTTACTTTTAATGCTAAATGTGTTAAAAGATTTCCGTGCCCAGTTACGAATAACACATTTTGTGTCAATTTCAACACAGAATGTATTAAAATCAGAAAACAATATGACACAAAAAGTGTTAAAACAGGTAACACTAGTATGTGTGTTTTTATTTAACACCTCATTTTTTAGAGTGTATGTAGATCACAACAGATTAATGCTCATATTTTTGCACTGCTCTGCTTGTATGTGCATGAAATATCTAAGTATTAAAGGAATAAATTGGCCAAAAACATAAATGATTGAGGCTCATTTGTACTGAAAGTGTGGTCATCAGAATAACAGTTATCATTATTTTGATTTTCCAGGTACACTAGCTTAGCTTTTCTGACGTCTATATGTTCAGGAATTCACGTAGCCCCGTGTTTGGTCATCTTGCGCTCAAGTCCAATGTTTGTTAGCAATATTAGCCTAGCAATTCCCGTTTCAACATTTTGCCTTCTGCTCATACTCCTGAATGGCATGAGAGGTAATCCAAACCAAATTATAATCCAGTTCTGTTTGTTTGTATTTAGGGTGATGTATGACGGATATCAGCAATGATTGACAAGTAATTTGACGACCATGCTTCAAAGGCAATATTCGGCATGTTGAGAGAGAACTGAGTGTGACGTACAGTTTTCCATACTGTTCTGATGGTGTGGATGAATGGATCACTAATCACCACCACAGTGACTTTATGAATAGCTCTGATTTACTGTGTTGCACAGTTTGCACGCCGTTGCACTGTTACCACCAAGTTTCATGAATCTAGTGGGGGTCGGGGGGCGAATTTGAATCCAAGCCTCTAATGATCAAGAGGTAGTGCTAAAAAACTCCCTAAAACATAAGAAAGAGAGGTACAGCAGCTCTGAGCTATTCCTGTGCTTTTGGTGTTTGCTTGGTGATTGCCCCTCCTGATGTACTGTTTGGGGTCAAAGTGCATGTCTGATCAGTCTCTGTAAATTGTATGTGCAGACAAGAAGGAGAGAGTAAAACTGTTAAAGTAAACATCCCATAATGCATTCCAAAGCATATCTGTCATCTGTATGAAATGTAACCCTCTTATCGAGACCCTTTTCAGGTTTCAGTGTCTCTAAAATATCATTACACTTCATGATTTCTTCGTAAAACTTAACGACTTCCTGAACTGTGATATAATGAATGTGTAAAATGAAAAGTACCAATTTGATTTTTTAAAAAAGTCTCTACTCCTCTATTTGGGTACAAAGATGCTGTTCAGAGTCAAATTTGACCCTGTAGTTCAGAGTGACATTTGAGAATGCAACAGGTTGGTGAAATTCATGTTTGGCAATGATTTACAAGATACTGTCAGTGAAATAGAACAAGAGGCATCCAGAACAGAGGACAATGTTCAAATCAGTTCACAGCATGAGGAATTATTCTTTAATGAGGAAACTGATGTGCAGCAAAATGCTGAAAGGGAGGCATTCGTATCCAGAAATGCCCAAACAGCATGGTCCTCATCCCCCTCTGTAACTATGTGTAGAATGGCACTACAAACTATTATCAGATTGAGCTCAGAACTCACAAGAGTAGCAGTGACAAGTGTCAAAGTTTGCTCTAAGAAAAATGAATGAACTTTGGTTTCTGATTTCATTTGTAACATTTGTTACAATGATTGTGGTAGAAATAAAGAAAAGATGCTGCTTGGTAACAGACATGGCAGTTGATTGTCGACTTCAATCGAGAAAGTTAAGATTTTCTAACTTGAAATAAGAAAAGATGCTGTAAGATAAGATTCTTAAATTAAGATCAGATTTGCTTCTGAAAAATCTTATCTTGACCTGTCAGATTTTAAGTTAAGACAAAAAGATAGCAAGTTTCTGTAATGCAGCCCCTGAAGGGTAAGTTCAAAAACCAGAGATTCATAACAGAGCAAAAGGACAAGGCACAGGTCAAACACAGTAAAGCACTTACAAACTTGAGAAAAAAGGCTCGGTACGCACAGCAAAAGGTGACAATACTGGGCTTATATACTGAGCTAACAAACGTGGAACAAGGAACAGGTGTAAACAATCAGTAGTCAGGCGAAGCAGGGATAGGTGCATTCAGTTGACTCCTGAGTCAGACCTCCTGAGTCAGTGTTTGACCTCAGAAGTGTTGGACACTCTCCAAACTCTTGTAGAAGCTTCCCAGAAGAGTGGAAGCTGTTACAGCTGTAAATGGGGACCAACTCCATATTAATGACTATGGATTTAGAATGGAAGTCATAAAAGCTCCTGTAGGTGTGATGTGCAGGTGTCCTAATACTTTTGTCCATATAGTGTATATACAATAGAAAACTATGTAAGACAAAGAACTATATATGATACAGAACCATGTATACACAGTACTGAACTATACACAATACTGAAATATAAACAGTACTGAACTATACACAATACTGAACTATACACAGTCCTGAACTACACACAGTGCAGAACTATACACAGTCCTGAACTATACACAATACTGAAATATAAACAGTACTGAACTATACACAGTACTGAACTATACACAGTACTGAAATATAAACAGTACTGAACTATACACAATACTGAAATATAAACAGTACTGAACTATACACAATACTGAACTATACACAGTACTGAACTATACACAATGCTGAAATATAAACAGTACTGAACTATACACAATACTGAAATATAAACAGTACTGAACTATACACAATACTGAACTATACACAGTACTGAACTATACACAATACTGAAATATAAACAGTACTGAACTGTACACAATACTGAACTATACACAGTACTGAACTATACACAATACTGAAATATAAACAGTACTGAACTATACACAGTACTGAACTATACACAGTACTGAACTACATACAGTGCTGAACTGTAAACATTTCATAACTCTACACAATGCAGAACTGTGCATGGTGCTGAACTTCACAATACAAATGCACACAAGCAGGTATTGTTTGACCGTACACCTATACTGTCTGATTATGAGATTTTCAAGGGTGGTAACAAATGAGTATGTTTTGGTGTTTCCTAACAAGATGAAAAAGAAAGTTAATTGTCCTTGTTGAATCTGTGCTGATGGACTGTCTCTTGTCCTGTTTTAACAGACACTGCTTTTACAAAATCCAGCATGGACCCACGAGTCTCTTCTCTGACAGCCTTTCGTCGACCTTTTCGTACACTCCGTGCTACTGCTGGGGACACAGTCGACCTGGCCTGTCACCTCTCACCTGAAATCAGTGCAGGGGCCAGAGAGATCAGGTGGTTTAAGGGGACAGACTGTGTTAAAGTGTCCCCGATTACTGTGGAACGTGGCTGTGAAGGCAGAGTGACCACTGTGGCATTTGATGATGTCTCTTTGACACTGGATGATGTAAAAGTCACCGATTCTGGACAGTACAGGTGTGAAATGCTGGGAGAGAAGAAAGAGGAAATCTTCATTGTTCATTTGCATGTGTCAGGTGAGTTTAGTACCTACTGTGAAGGACATTCAGGGACATTTATAATGCTGCATATATCGTTGCTGATGGAAAAAAACTTGTATCTCCAAAATGATAACTTGACAGGAAAAGGGAAAAACTACTTTACTTTTAAAGTAAGTCAATGGAACCAGACTTTTTTCCAAGTAATTTTGGGCCGTTTCTTTTGGTCCATTCATCATGAAATTTACACACAATGTAAAAAGCAGCAGGCATTTTCAAACTATGTCAAAAACCGAAAAACAACAAAAATGGAGATACAAGGTTTTCTTCCAACAGCAGTGATATGTTGTACCATACTTAATGTATACTGTATATACTACACTGTAAATCACCCAGTACACAACAGGAGTTAATTGAAATTGTCTACCAGTGTTAGATTAAATAGGACTTGCTGTCAGATCCAAACATCATATGGATAACTCGGCTAGTTTGCACAGTAAGCCATGTAGTTACTAACTGATCCTACTTTAAGGCATTTTAACTTGTTGCAAATTTTTCTAATTTGATTACTAGCTGTCGAATTTACACACAACAGTGTTTAATGTTTTTCTAATAATTTTCTGAAACATTATTAATGTTAATTACTCAATTTTTTCTCTGCTTCCTCAAATAAAGTTAGAACTTACCAGCCACTTTATAACCCCTTTAAACTGACTGCCTGAACACTCACTTTGAAAAGCACCATGTTTCACGGTCACAGAATCAGTTTGAACAGTCAGCAGTACAGAATGAAGCACTAAGACAAACCATTAGGCCAAAACGCTTGTTATTTTATTAATTCAGTTTTCATAAAATAACCTAGTAATCTGTTTGCAGTAATTCTGTCACGTTGACTAATGAACTTGTTTTATTGCCACGTGACATGTCGGTGGTAATTGTATCTGGTGCAACAAGATGTAATTCAACTCCGTTGTAGCACATAAACATACTATATATTACATATACAGTAAACAATATACAATACACAGTTTACAAGATTTAACGTAGAAGAATCGTGATAAATTACACAGTAATTTCATGTGTGCATTCTTACAAAGGCTTATCTTAGTCAGACTATATTAACACTCAGAAGAGTTAGGTAACCTTACAGCAGTAGTTCTTGAAGTACAGCAGCTGTTCTTGAAGCTGTCTTGCTTTTTATGGGTCTATTGCGTCTCCCAGAAGGAAGAGTTTGGAAAAGATGTTATGTAATTATGTAAAATATCATATTGTGGGTAAAAGGCCATGATTGTGGTAGAAATAAAGTGCTGTTCTGCTACTGGTGTATAAACTGATGTGTAAACCTTCTTGAGGTCTTAATAGACATACAAGATGCTGAGCAGTGTGTGAGCATTTTCATGGAACTCCCAAAGTGTTTATTGTCACATAGAATTTGACATGATTAATCATTATCTAATCTAATATTGTTTAATTTATTCTCTAAATATGTAATTCATAAATCTTCTTATGTAAATTATAACCTGATCTAATCTTTGTTCTCCCTCTTAGAGTTTAGACTGGTCTCCAGATCCGCAGATGTTGGAGAGCCATCTTGCATTGCGGGTTACATTATATACTGTAAGAGCTTTTCAGATTTTGGACCTCATGTGTTTTGTGGTCATGATGCCACCCTGCCCTGTTACCTCTCTCCTGAAACCAGTGCTGTTGCCATGGAGATCAGGTGGTTTAAAGGAACAGACTGCATTTACCTGTACCGGAATGGTCAGGTGACAGAGGGGAGGGGCTACGAGGGCAGAGTGAGTGTGTTCACCCACCAGCTGCAGAGAGGAAACGTCTCTCTGAATCTGAGAGATGTTCAGAGGTCAGATTATGGAGAGTACAGGTGTGAGGTCACTCATGGAGGACAAACGGTGCAAAATGATGGAGTTCATTTGAAAGGTAGGGCTGAAATTTTTGAAATTGAATAGACCCTCGTAGGTCCTTCTCAGCATTAACTAAAACTACATCAAACTTTTCATGATGCTCCAACCAGAAAGGGCCTGGACCCATAACTCCAGCACCAAGAAGTGAACAGTAATATTACTGAACAAAGTAATAGTGCCACCACAATTCATATAAAACACATTTTGTAGACACATTAAAATGTTGAGAAACCTCAAAATATCAAGGCAACATTTTTTAGTTTTCTCAACAGCTGAACAGCTCATCATTAGGCAGCCATTTTTTTTTTTTTTGGAGGAACTCAACCTACATTGCATTTGGCAGATGTTTTTTCCTTGAATAGGTTAATTTATGCCTCAACACTCTTTATAAATGTACTTTTCTCTTTGGTGTTTTTTGACAAAGTATTTTAAGTGCTTAACCTTCAGGAAATGTTGTTTTTCCACCTCAGGTTATATGAGCTGTTTTTCACCGTAAATGGCTGAATAACAGGGTTGAACCCAGAGAACATTCCCCATTATGTTAATATTAACCCGTGTGTTTTGATGTGTTTGTTACTCAGTGGTCTGGTGGGCCCACCACATTATTGTTATTTAAAATCAACACAGCCATAACAATTTATGTAAAAATACCAGATGTTTAAAATATCAGAAGTGTCCAGTGTAGGGTTCTTCTTTAGGAGCTGTAGCCAATCAGCAGCCTTAATTATTTTTACATTAAATAACATTAATTCAATATTGTTGTTACTAGAAGATTTTAATGAATATATTTCATAGAAAAGTTCAGTGTCAGTGAGGAGTGACAGCCCAAAATCAGCATATTAAAGGCGGATACAGACATGTAACGTGATTTTTTAAATGCAAATTTTAATAACTTATTTGTTTCTAATAATTTATAATTATTTATTTTAAGTTAAAGCACAACTCCTTTCACTTTTTACAGAACAAAAAATACAACAGTTATTTTATTGCTTTTAAAAAGGTAAAGGGACAAATTGAGCTCTGTTCATGGAAAGTGCCAGATATCCTTGTTACGGGACGGTGGGGAGGCGGACCCAAGTGCAGAAATGGAAACCAGTGAGAAAGAGTACTAAATAAATTTATAGGGGCAATGGAGTGTTTGTTCGGGACGTTGTGATTGAGGTGACCCGGAGCCAGGCTCAAACCGCCGCTGTACTGATCGGCGGTCCGTGGAGTTACCGCTGCGCCGCTGGGACGCACAGGTGACAATGGATACAGCACCTCAAGGAAGGGGGGAACGAAAAGGCGGGAAATGTCAAACAAAAGAGACGCTGAAACCAGTGTGCTCAAACAAAAGCTGAACTAGAAAGGTGAAGTAAAAAGAAAACGAAATACACCTCCTCTGTAAGAACGAAGGGAAGCTAGACTTTGTTTGAGCTGTTTGCTCTTGCCGTTTGTAGCTCAAGAACTTTTTTGGGGGGGGCTTTAAGTAGTTTTGGGGCAGTTTTATTCTTTGTAGCCCTCTTTTCTTCTCTCTTTAGTTTTGGGGCAATTTCTTTTCTCAGCCCTCTTTTCTTTAACGACACTAAGTACTGTACCGGTCACCCCTCTACAAAGGTGTGACAAACGCCACTGTTTGCCACAGCCTTAAGTAGAGGAGACCGCAGGTGTTCTGGGAATTGGAGTTCCCTGAAGTTATGGCCCCTTGTCGCCGTCGCTCTCTGCTGACAGCTGGCGGCGCAGGCTGGACACCTTGCTGCCGTCGCCCTCTGCTGGCAGCAGGCGGGGGCGGCTGGACCCTTACAATCCTTACTTCATGTTACAGAAGTGAGCTAATGTAGCATTAGGAGTGCCCAAGGACACTTATTAGTACAGCATGGATGTGTTTGGTTGGGCTGGGAATGAAACCTCAGACTGTGTGAAAGACAGAGGTGTTACCCATTATACTGTACAAAACAACAAATCTAAAAAAACAGAATGGTAAGGTTGCTATTCCTACCGAGCACACGGCATGTCTCAACAAGTATCTAACATGTATTTAGGTTACTGCTGGTGTGGTGTAGTGGGTAACACCACTGCCCTCCACCCAGGAGACCTGTCTGCTCAGGACTCTTAGATAAGACTCCAAACACCACATTAGTTACCTCTGTGACATTATTAGACTGTAAGTCACTCTGAATGAGAGTGTCTGCTAATGGCCAGACATGTATTGTAGGTTATTCCCTTTTAAAATAACTTCAGGCTTTATTGGCTGCTTAACGTTAGATGAACAAACAAATCCAAGTTGGTTAAACAAATGAACTTTAGTAAGGAAGACTACAAAAGCAGTGGTTGGGAAATCTTTCTCTCAGCAGTTTTGTTTTCACATGAAAAAGAAGCTCCCTTCAGAGCTGTGAAACTGTTTCAATACCTGTTTTCAAAGACACCAAACTTAAATAATATAAAATAAAAACGTACATTGTAAATGTAAATTAAATGTAAATTCTATTTTAATTCCAGTCACTTATCACTTATATGGGTCTGAGCAGGATTAAACATTGTACTGCAGCCAGGCACTAGAGTGTCACTTGGTTTTACCAAAGACATTTTGTTCATTTCATATTTTATTCTTTTCACTCTTTGTGCCAAACAATAGAACATTTGCAGTAAGAATTCATAATTTTAAAATTGTAGATTAATTTCCAGTACGTGTGCATATTGCATTTTTATAATTAAAATGATTGTTATTTATAAATTTATAGCTTACCATCAAAACTTTATCTACAGGCAATCTGTCTTCAGTAAATTGATGACTGACATGAACATTTCTGTTTTTCTGTTTACAGCGTTTAAATTGTCCTCCCATCCAGAGCGAAGTTTCTCAAAATCTATTCCTCAGATTCGTACTGTCCATGCTTGGGCTGGTGATGATGTCACTCTGCCCAGCTTACTCTCTCCTGAAACCAGTGCTGTTTCCATGGAGATCAGGTGGTTTAAAGGGACAGACTGCATTTACCTGTACCAGAATGGTCAGGTGACAGAGGGGAGGGGCTATGAGCGCAGAGTGAGTGTGTTCACTGACGAGCTGGAGTATGGAAACGTATCTGTGAAGCTGAAAGATGTCCAAGACTCAGATGGAGGAGAATACAGGTGTGAGGTCACTTGTGGAAAAGACAAGTTGGAAAACAACATTCACCTGCATATATCAGGTACTTCTTTGATGGATTGACACATTAAAGATAATTAAACTGCTTCTCTACAGCTTATGTTGGGTAACTCACCAGATTGTATAATGGGTGAAGTAAATCTACCTGACAAATGAAGACTTGCTTGCAATGTACAAAGTAATCTGCAAGAGTTAAATCTTTTTACAAAAACCCAGCTGATACATACTTTGTTGTTGTGCTCGTATAAAGGTAGTCATAATTGTTGACCTATTAACTAATAATCAGGGATTTAGGCCCAGTCCCATTTCAACCCCCACCCCTACTACATAGCCTTTATCCCTCTGTTTTGCACGTTCATGTCTAGGGGTAGGGTGTCCCAATTTTTGTTGAGATAGAGGGGTGGGGTGAAGGGTTAGGGCTACACGGCCCTCCAAACAGAGGTTTTTCAGAAAGAAGTGTTATGAGAAAAAAAGCAAAACCGGCAAGATGGCTGAGCAAGAGACCAAAGAAACACACAAATGTGAGAATTTTCTCCTTTAAAAAAATTATGATAACCACTGTATTATCTTTAATGTCACTTCAGTGTATTGTGGTCATTTTCTTCATAACAAGCATAGAAAAATCGCTAGTAGTATGCTAATGTCTCGGTAGCTAGCTAGCTAACTTTCCCGTTCCACCTTAAAAAGTCCAGTAGATCTGACACCTGAAGCGCCAGAATGTAACTGCTGCTCCATTTAAGGTGGAACAGGAAAATTCAAACAAGAAGCTGGTGACTTCAGCTTCATATCACTGAAGAATTAGCGGTGGGCGATATTAAATAATTGTCTTATACCCCCTCTTTGAAAGCATATGATGCCCTAAATGTAATTAAGGCCCAGCAGCACTTTAGACTAAAATCCTTTTGCTTTGAGTGACCCTATACCTTATGTTTATTTTATTAAAAATAATGATTAAACATTCAGTTTTGTCACTTCCGAAACAATCATAACAATACAGAAGCTTTATCCGAATGAAGGCCTGGGTCATCAAGTTATCGGCCCCTGAGCACAAATGTTGGGGTGGACCCCTACCTGGCTGCCTTTTTTGGGTGGTCAGTGATTTTTTTAAGATATCACAGCAGATTACATGAGGGCTGTGCAGCACCACAATGGCAAGATTAGGCACACATTAACGAGAGCACAGGTTAAGGACCACCACCCCTTACCTGTTATGTCCTCTGCCTTTGAGGCACAGGCATCCATCTTCACTAAGCTGGACCTGCGCAGTTCCTATAACCTAATCAGGGTTAAGAAGGGGGACGAATGGAAAGGCTTTCATCACCCCATCGGGCCACTATGAATACTTAGTTATGCCCTTTGGGCTAATGAATGCTGCAGTCGACTTCCAGAGCTCAGGGCGGTTTCAGTGGACTCTGGAAGGCCAGAAAACCTTCAAGGAAATTAAGCGCTGTTTGACCTTGGCCTCAGTGCTGTAACTTCTGAACCCAGGTAGAGGTGGATGCCTATTAGACAGGTGTAGGGGCAGTGTTGTCCCAGCAGTCTGGTCTTAACCAGAAGTTACACCCCTGCGCCGCCTTATCACACCACCTCTCCCCCTCAGAGCGAAACTACGATGTGAGTGATTGAGAGTTGTTGGTTATCCTACTGGCCTAGAGGAGTGGAGGCGCTGAGTGAAGGGAGCCAAACATCCCCTCCTGGTTTGGACAGATCACAAGTATCTGCCCTATATCCAGCAGGCCAAATGGCTAAATCCATGCCAAGCCTGGTGGGCACTGTTCTTTGCATGATTCGACTAAGCTAGATGCTCTCTCCCACCAGTGAGAGCCATCCCCTCTAGAGCAACAGTCAGCAGAGGGCCATATAATGGCTCCCATTTGGTGGGGGGTGGAAGCCGTTGTATGACAGGCCCTCAGAAATGAGCCAGATCAGGGAGGTGGCCCCCGTGATAGATTGTATGTTCCTGTGGCTGTTAGGAACCAGGTGCTGCAGTGGCGGCACTCTTCCCCATTCACTGCACACCCAGGGGTGACCTGCACATTAGAGTTTCTGCATAGGCGGTTCTGGTGGCCACACATGAACCAAGACGTGCGGGCATGTGTAGCAGCTTACAGGGTGTGCACCTGGAACAAGGAGTCCAGGACCAAACCGACAGGCCTGCTCCATCCAGTATCCATCCCCTCTCGCCCATGGTCTCATGTTTCCCTTCATTACTTTATCATAGTGTTGCCCTGGCCCTGGGCAACACTGTAATCCAGGTGGTTGTTGACCACAACAAGCAAGTTTGTTGCTGTACTGGAGCTTCCATCAGACAGAGAAATGGCCAAGGTATGCATAGAGCAATTAGTCCAAGTCCTCAATTTGCCAGCTGGTTTTGGGAAGCCTTTTGCAAGCTACTGGGGCGAAAGCCAGCCTTTCATTGGGCTTCCAACCCCAGTCAAATGGCCAGACGGAAAGGGTCAACCAAAATCTAGAGTACACCCTCCGGTGTCTGGCCTCTTCTAACCCTTCTTCCTGGTCAGAAGCACATTATGGCACTTGTCCCTAGGCTTGTCCCTGTTTAAGTGTCAGTTTGGGTATGCTCCACCCATGTCTGCAGAACCCCAGCAGTGGGACATCTCGCTTTGCTTTTCTGATAGCCTGGGAGAGGTTGGCTCTTGTTGTGCTGAGAGCTGTCTTGTTGTCTGACTTCAAAGCAACATTCAGGATTTTCAGCAGTACATGCACCTCAGTAGTCATTCACAGCTTCTGGTTAGTACATGTGGTGATGGTCTTGAAGGAAATCACATCATCTATGCACTTGATAATGTAACCAGTCATAGATACTGTCTACTTCTCGAAATCAGTTGAATCATCATATGTAGCAGCCTTCCTCAACATGTTCTAGTCTGAGTGCTCAAAACAAGATGGCCCTCTTAGACCACATTCTCACCTGTTTCAGAACTGGTTTGGCACACTTGAGCAGGGATTTGTATGTTGGGAATAGAAAACCAGAGATGTGGTCCCAGCAGCTAGGTGAGGGTGAAGTGCAGCCTGCTAATCCAAGATCTTAAGGCACCCGGTGACAAAGAAGACTATAAGGAGATGCTCACTAGAGACTCTGCAAATCTGCTTTGAGACCACAGACTGGGGGGTCTTGTGTGAATCAGCTGGTGAGGACATTAACAAGATGACAGACTGCATTACTAATTATTTCTATTTTTTCAATGACACTGTTGTTTCAGTTAGGCAGGTGCATTGTTTTTTCCAACAATAAACCATGGATCACCAAGGAACCTGAAGGAATTGTTAAATAAGAAGAAGCAGGCTTATAGACTGAGGGATTAAGAATTGTGAAGAAGTGTTCAGAGGGAGCTGAAGGTGAAACTGAGGGAGAATAAGGAGGCATACAGAAAGAAGCTGGAAGGAAGACTTCAGCAAAACAATGCAAAGAAAGTGTGGGCTGGTATTCAAGACAAACTGGCTTTAAAACAAAAAGACAAACTGTGGGCAGCAGTTTGGAAACAGCCAGCAAGATGAATATATTTTTCAACAGGTTTAGCATGACACCATCCCCTTCCATCAGCAGTGGCCTCCCCCCATTCTCTTACCCCACCCCCTCACCCCACAGTCATTGTCTGAAGACCCTTATCCCTCCCTAGATGTGACACCCAGCCATGTGAAGAGATAGCTGAAATTGGGAAAACCTGCTGGACTGGATGGAATCAGCCTGAGAATACTGAAGGTTTGTACCACTCAGCTGTGTGGGATTCTTCTGCATCTCTTCAACCTGAGTCTTAAACAAGGTCATGTGCCATTGCTGTGGAAAACATCCTGCCTGATTCCTGTTCCAAAGAAGTCATCTACCTCCTCTTTCAATGACTGTAGACTAGAGGCCCTTACATCCCACATCATCAGTGATTTATTTACTGCAGGAGGCACACTCATTTAGACCAGAACAACACCATAGAGAGAATTACTTTCTTTGACTTCTCAAGCGCATTCAGTACCATCCCAGCTCTTGTGCTGGTGAAGAAGATGGATACAGTGCAGGTGGACAGGTCCATGATTGCCTGGGTCTTGGGCTACCTGTATGGAAGACTCCAGTATGTGCAGCTCGGAACTTGCCAGTCTGATCTTCTGGTCAGTAGCATTGGAGCATCTCAGGAAACTGTGCTTTCCCCTTTCCTCTTCACCCTGTACACGACGGACTGCCGCCTTCAGAAATTTCCTGATGACTCTGCAGTGATCGGGTGCATCAGGGATTGGCAGGAAGGAGAATACAGAGATCTTGTGAACAACTTTGCTAAATGGTGTGCAAGGAACCATCTGCTCCTCAATGTGACCAAGACCAAGGAGATGGTGGTGGACTTCAGGAGGAAGACGACTATGATCAGTCATGTTACCATCATGAGTCACAATGCTGAGCTCGTAGACACCTACAAATTCCTGGGTGTCCTGCTTGACAACAAACTGGACTGGAGGGCCAACACAGAGGCTGTGTACAGGAGGAGGATGAGCAGATTGTTCTGAGAAGGCTCAGGTCATTTAATGTGTGCAGCAAGATGTTTGCTGGGGAGGCAGCATCAGAGGGTGAGATGCAAAAAAGCTCAACAAACTGATGGTTTTGAGGTGGTGGTGGTGGAAAGGAGATTACTTAATAAACTCATTGTTGTCCTGGACAACACATCACACCCCGGGCATGGGGGCAGTGGAGCACTTTCAGCAATGGACTCATTCAGCTCCGCTGTAGTAAGGAACAGTACAGAAAAGGTTTGTACGAACAGCGATCACACTGTACAACCTCTTCACTGTGCCGGGACATTACTGTATACTGAGCCTCTAACAGGACAGGCTCACTGACCACCAGTTGGACATTACTACAACTCTCTATTCATATTTGTTAGTGGAGGCAAACTTGCGTACCAAAACCACTTGGAGCACCGTAGACCATAGGCTTACGCAGCAACTGAAAAAATGTCCAGAGGCTTGTTGTCGTTTACAAGGTTTATTCCACAGCTTGAGCAAGCAACAAGGTTTCAATTGCATTTCTTCATAACTGCTGGAAAAACCTGTGTGGTACCCCTGGCGCTGCCCTATGCTTCTATGGTATCACCATATGTGCACCTGTGCTTGCCCTCGCCACCCAGTATCAGTATTAAATCATTGCATCACATTTTCAATAATAAACCACACACCAGTATAGCTCCTACAATATTACTGTACTGCCACTTTGTTTGTGCATCCATACATTTTGCACAACTATTAACATTAATATTTATTTATACAACTGTATAATAATATATGGTAATTGCTTTTACTGTACTTTGTGCTGCTGTAATACACAACTTTCCCTCTGGATTATCCAGATTGGTACCAGTTTTAAGGTCTAAATCCAGCATCTGTCATACTGTGTGGAGTTGGGGGGGGGGTGTGGTTAGTGGCTAACCTGCACATCTGTGAAAGCACCATTAACACTGAACACGTTTTAGAGCAACATATAAAGCCTTTTAGGTGCCGTCTTTTTCAGGGACCTTGCTTATTTCAACATGACAACACCAAGAAATTCTGCACTGTTGACCAGATGAAGACATGGATAATTAAGGAATGGCAAAAAAATCTTTCAAACCTGGATCAGTTTGTGTCTTCAGTCCCCAAATGTTGAAAGTGCTGTTAAAGGAAAGGTGATGTAACACAGTGGTAAACATGTTCCTGTCCCAGCTTTTTTGGAACATATTGCAAGCCTCAAATTTGGAATTAGTGTATATTTACAAAAAAAAACAACAAAGTTCGTAAGATAAAACATCAAATATTGTGTTTTTGTACTATTTTCAATTTAATACAGGTCAAACAGGATTTACTAGGCACTGCTCTCTGTTTTTATTAGCATTTCACATACTGTCCCAACGTTTTTGGAATCGGGTTTGTATCTCTGTGTCTGAAGTTAAACGCTGTCCCCATTGAAGCTCCAGTAAAAGGAATAGTGCATTGTTGGGCAGTGGGTAGCACTTTAGCGTGATAACTGAGAAAGTTCTGTAGCTGATCTGACATCCTCAGACTGCATCGTGAGCATATGAGTGTCTGAATTTAGTATATCATAAAGTGATAAAGTTTCTAGGAATTTTACTGGACTGAACTGGCAACCTTATTTATCGGTACCATTAAGGCACAGATTTACTGTAACTTTAGTTAATGTGGTCCAGATGTCCTCCTAATACTTTTTCAATCTACAAGATTCATGAGTGAAATATTCACCATTCAAGCCATGAATTTCATTCAAAGGTGACAAGTTTGTATATCAATCAATAGTGTGCTTGGAGGTGGTAAGTGACTGGAGTGGGGCAAGGTTTGAATCATCACTCTTGCTGTAGTTCAGTGAGGATTAGACTTAAACTTAGTTTCTGTTCAAAACAATCAACGTAAGTTAGAAGGAAATTCAAAAGAGAAAAACAAACAATTCAAATAAGTACAGTACAAGCTGACAGTCAACAAGATGAGCATGCTTTGAATTAGGGTTGAATTAGTAGTTGAATTAGGATTTTACGCTTCAAATTTTATCAGATTGTTGATACAGATAGTGCATGCTGTCTGCATTTCTTAGACATAAGAAATGGGATAAAGGAAACAACAATCTGATAAGCATAACATGTCATGGAAGATGCAGTTTTGTATTATTTAATTCTATAACAACAGAGAGTACTGAAATCAGAAGCCTAAAATCAATTTATTTCCAAGGCTTTTAGACGGCCTCCCATCCAGTGAAGGCCCTGATCAGGTCCATTGTTTCTCATGGCCTGCGGTTAGCCACTGCTCTCAGTTATTTGTGAGCAGAGCTGGACATTGACTGTAAACCTTCTCAGATAGTTTTAGGGTCTTTTGTGCTTCTACATTTATGCTTTGTGTGCAGAACATTTCAAAGTGGTCAGTTTGGCTAATTAAGCTGTGATGTGGAGAAGAGTCCTGTGGAGATGTGAATTATTTATCATACACCCCATTCCCTCAGTTTCAGCATCCACTGTATCAGACAGCTGTGATCCAGTGTGGCTTTGAAACATACTGCATTTTTGTGCAGCAGCAACTTTATTTTTTTATTGTTTTGTGCTGAATAACAAACATGTGTTTCTCATTTCAGAGTTAAAGCTGGTCTACAGATCTGAAGATGTTGGAAAACCCTTTGAATCCCTCTTGATTCGTCTTGAGAATAAATTGACTGTTCTTCCACTTTACGAGACCCTGACCCTTCTCTGTCATGGTGTCACTCTGCCCTGTTACCTTTCTCCTGAAACCAGTGCTGTTGCCATGGAGATCAGGTGGTTTAAAGGGACAGACTGCATTTACCTGTACCAGAATGGTCAGGTGACAGAGGGGAGGGGCTACGAGGGCAGAGTGAGTGTGTCCACCCACAAACTGCAGAGAGGAAACGTGTCTCTGAGTCTGAGAGATGTTCAGTGGTCAGATGATGGAGAGTACAGATGTGAGGTCACTCACGGAGAAAAAATGGTGGATGCTTCATTTTACATTGGTGTTTTTGGTAAGACCCCTTTCACATTACACAACATACAGATTTCTGAGGTTCACAACACATTTCACATCATACAAGTTACATTTTGAGAATATTTGTGAGATTAAAAAGAGACAGTCTACCAGTTTTTAAGTCTAAAATATGACTTTACACCTGCTTCAAAAGGGTTCCATTTATTTACAATTTACAGATTATATGCAGATCATGTCTGTAAAAATTACAGTTTTTACTTTCTGCTAAATGAACTGCAGAAATACATCCAGGTTTTTTAATCAATCTTTATTGACATTGGAAATTTTCTATCATGTCCTATGCGAATAGAGTTTTTAATTTTTTTTTTTTTTAAATGGAGGTCCTCAAAGAAGTACTTGTATGCTGAAAAATTACAATAAACAGAACATTTTCAATTTATCCTTTGTGTGAGGACAAATTGGGTAGATACTCCCATCTCTTTATGCAATTATGTAATACATTATGACAAAGAAATAATTACATTTTCAAGCTGATATGTAATAACTCATTACAAATTCTCAATAATATAATGAGGTTTTACATCGTCCATTGAGTACAATTTACAAATCTGGCATCACCTTCAGAAAGTGTATAATTTTAAATCATGTCCAATCATGTTGATTAATATCGAGTCTTTCCCATTTTCAAAAATGTTATTTTATATCAAAACCCTAAAAATATTTTAAAATGGAATTGAGCCATCAACACCACCACACCACACAAACTCAACACAACACACACACTCAACACACACACACACACACACACACACACACACACACACACACACACACACACACACACTTTACCTGTGGATTTAAGGTAGCACTGTATTTGAGGCTTCGAAGGATTTAAGATATCAGTAGATTTAAGATAGCAATGGATTTAAGGTGATTGTGGATTTAAAGTAGCAATGATTTAAGGTATCAGTAAATTTAAGGTATCTGCGGATTTAAGGTATCAGTAAATTTAAGGTATCCGTGGATTTAAGGTATCAGTGCATTTAAGGTATTAGTGGATTTAATGTACTGTTGGATTTTATGCAGCACTGTACCAAGTTACCAGTGAATTTAAGGTCCAAGTGCACTGAAGATATCAGTGAACGTAAAGTAGCAGTGAATTTAAGGTACCAATGTATTTGTACAATGTAATAAAATCGTTGTTAAATGTTTATAAGATGTAGAATTTGAACATGAAGAATGTCACTAACTTCCCTTTATCTGTTTTTCTATTCCGCAGAGTTTCATGGTGAGTATATTTCAACTGAACACTTTCCACACTCTACACTCTCTGGATGTTTATAAATTTACATTAAAACCTCTTTCACACACAAGATTTGCCATGATTTTTCAGAATAAAGGCCTTTACACACCAAACACAGTTTATTTGTGCAGTTTAATTGGACTTCAACAGATTAATTCAAGCAGGGGTGTAACTGAGGAGATCTCTCTCACCAACTGCGACGTTTTATTACTCTGCTTGATTTTTGAGAACTTTCGCAGGTGACATGAACTCACTGACCAGTGAAAGTCGTCTCTGGTGTTGACGGATTGGCTGTGTCCCACCAGCCACGTTTCTACAAATGTTAAAAATAAGTTTGTCTTCTTCATCACTGATTATGTCAGCATCTCCAAAAGCAGCTCAGTCAGATTTTCAGAGCTGAGCTGTGTAAAAGCTCTCTGAAAGCTGGGAAACTGTACAGGCTACTTTGTTTTTCCAAAAAGTAGCTCAGCCAGTTTTTTTTTTAGCTCAGCCAGCCAGTCTTTCAATGTCTTTTGCACTTTTTTGCACTTGAACCACAACATAATATTTAAAAAAAAATTGTGTTGCATCTGGTGCGTATAGTTTTGATGTGAAAAAATCATGGCCAAATATTTTTTCTCATTTATCATTTTCCTGCCATGAATTTGTTTGTTGTGTTTATTAAGGCCTTAATAAAAATATAGACGCCCTGAAGGGTAACACTGAAAGTGCATTCCTGAGTCTAAGTTCCACTTTATTTTTTTAGCTATATTCAGACTTAATGTTTAAAAGGAATTCCTGCCTTTTTCCAGTTTCCTGGGTTAAATTTGAAACACTCTTTTTTAAGAAAGGTGGTTATAAATTATAAAAAATAAATTCAGACTCGCAGTTTTGTCAAGACATTTTCACTTATTGGAGTATTTCTAAGATGCTGAACATCAAAAAAAAAACATGCTTGTTATTTACTTTATTCATTGTTTCTCACCACAGCGGGACGTGTTCCTGCTGAAACACCAAGTGAGTAAATATATAAATATATATACTGTATATAAAAAACACTTCCTCTCTGCATATTCCTGGTTTTAATCTGTTTCTATATATCTATATAACAGTATCAGTTATGACCATCATCATCATCATGAGGGTGTTTCAGGCCCAGAATCAGTTTTTCACCTTTCCTTCCAGTAGTTTGTCAGAATTTAGCTCATGTGTTCTGATCCCAGATCAGCCTCAGTAATGATTCATACTGATTCAGAGCTCATGCTTGTATGTTACCACTGACACACCTATAGATGTTTGATACATTATGTTTGAGAGACAGTAACACGTCTCTCCCTCTGACGTATAATAATGTGCTCTACTGATCAGAACTGTAGTATAATATACAGTTGAACTGGCTGCTAATAATAAAAAAAAAAAAATCTGACATTTACGAGTCAGAAAGTCACTCAGAAACACACACAGCTGAATTAATTTCTATTGTATTTACAGAGGAACGAAGAAGACGTGCGAGTGAGTCGAGTGACCTTCAGCCCAGTAGGCTGATATTTTCTCTCTCTGGACTCTTTACATACAGAAGCTGGACACTGTGCACTCTGAACATTTACTGTTCTCTCTCTGTTCACACTTCAGTGACAGTAAATATAGCAGGTTAATCGATCAGCTGCGTCTCTGAATTCATTTCATTATCTGATCTGATGACTGTGAATCAGCTCAGTACAGTTAGTGTGGTTCAGTGAAAACAGGCACCAACGAACAGTCGATCTTCAGTTATTTACAGCATTAAATCAGATTAGAAATGAGCTGAAATTACTGTGAAATGATTTCATGAAAATGTTATCAAATCCACGTTCACTAATCCAAATGATTTAATGTAATCAACTTTTTTACAGAAGAACCAGAAAAAACAGGAAGAAGGTGGAGTTATGAAATGCTTCCTCCAGAGTGTAAGTCAATAGTTACTGTCTCTCTGAGCTGATGAAGCTCTGAGTGGTTCATATATATGACTGCAAATTTGGCAATAAGACAATCTGCATGAGTAAAAGAAAAAAACTAGTCTTATACTCTGAAGTCTTATCTTTATGGAGGCTGATCTGGAATCAGAACACGTGAGCAAAATTCTGACAAACTGCTGAAATTGATTCTGGAGCTGAAACTGTGCAAGCTTATGATGATGATGTCAGTGTTAAATTGATTTACGAAAATACATATTTATAAAAGATTATAATCATAAATAACATAATACTGGTTTATTATTGCTAATAATTTGTCTATTTTTGTGTTCAGTTTAGTATTGAACTGTGTTCAGGTCTGTATTGAACTGTGTTCAGGTCTGTACTGAACTGTGTTCAGTTTAGTATTGAACTGTGTTCAGGTCTGTATTGAACTGTGTTCAGTTTAGTATTGAACTGTGTTCAGGTCTGTATTGAACTGTGTTCAGTTTAGTATTGAACTGTGTTCAGGTCTGTATTGAACTGTGTTCAGTTTAGTATTGAACTCTGTTCAGGTCTGTATTGAACTGTGTTCAGGTCTGTACTGAACTGTGTTCAGTTTAGTATTGAACTGTGTTCAGGTCTGTATTGAACTGTGTTCAGTTTAGTACTGAACTGTGTTCAGTTTAGTATTGAACTGTGTTCAGGTCTGTATTGAACTGTGTTCAGTTTAGTATTGAACTGTGTTCAGGTCTGTATTGAACTGTGTTCAGTTTAGTACTGAACTGTGTTCAGTTTAGTATTGAACTGTGTTCAGGTCTGTATTGAACTGTGTTCAGTTTAGTATTGAACTGTGTTCAGGTCTGTATTGAACTGTGTTCAGTTTAGTATTGAACTCTGTTCAGGTCTGTATTGAACTGTGTTCAGGTCTGTACTGAACTGTGTTCAGTTTAGTATTGAACTGTGTTCAGGTCTGTATTGAACTGTGTTCAGTTTAGTATTGAACTGTGTTCAGGTCTGTATTGAACTGTGTTCAGTTTAGTATTGAACTGTGTTCAGGTCTGTACTGAACTGTGTTCAGTTTAGTATTGAACTGTGTTCAGGTCTGTATTGAACTGTGCTCAGGTCTGTATTGAACTGTGCTCAGGTCTGTACTGAACTGTATTCAGTTTAGTATTTAACTGTGTTCAGGTCTGTACTGTAACATTTACTGTATTGAACTGTGTTCAGTCATGCTGATTCTTTTCGCTCCAGTAACATCTTCCCTGTTCCTACAGTGTGAGGGGAGGAACAACAACAGGAGAATCCACCAAAGGAGAGAGAGAGAAGAATGGATGAGTGGAGGAGAGAGAGAAGAAGAGATGAGTGGAGGAGAGAGAGAAGAAGAGATTAAGAATATATATCAGCAGCACTTTATTTTACAGTGCGTTACGACCCCATGTTTTGTCTGGGCACTGTGGGATCAGTAATGTGTCATTAAAATACTGAGCTGGTGATGATGGATTAACAGCTTGAGGAACAGACCAATTAAACTTTTAAAGCCATTTTATTAAAACTAACCAAAATAAAATGTGTTTGCTAGGATACTTAGTGCCACACTGGAAGAGCCAAACTGTGGACGGCACCAAAGAAAAGAACAAAACAAAACCTAACCACGCTCGCCTGCTCTGAAACAAAAAGTATTTAACTAACCTAAAAAAGGAAACTAAAGCTAACTAACTTCCCTGGCTGGTAGTCAAAAGTACACGTGTACACTCTGACCTAGAGGACTAGACAGAGTAGAGAGAGTAGACTTCTACGTGGTGAGAATGAATAGGCACACCCCTCTTATCTGTTTGAAACCCCAGGTGGTACAACCATACGGTGGCTGAGAAGACCCAACAAACTGCAAATAAAAAACGAGCTGCAAACTCAGAAAACACTTCCATCAAAATGACGACACAGCGCTACATTTCATAAACGCGCTGCAAATACAGAAACACAAGCAAATACAGAAACACATGCAGCTTCAGAAACGCTGATAAGCCAATCACAACACAGCAGAGGTGTTTCTGGGGGACACTCAGAGGGCGGAGCCATTCAGACTTTTAAATTCTGTGCAGTAAAAACACACCAGTAAAAGTTGACTTTTATTTGAGTCGATTACTGACATCACTGTATTGTAGTGGGAATTAGCTATAGAGAGTCACTGCAAACCTTTAACTAGTAACACCAGATTAACTACCACAGTACAGCTGTGACACGTCAGACAGCAAACTAGCCAGCCAGGTTAACCATGAACTGGGGACGTGAGTGTCCGAGTGTCTGTGGTCTGATCTGCTTCTGTCAGTGATTTTCCGTCATAGATATTCCATCCACTTTGAGCCCTTTGAGTCTTCCAGAGACATTTCCATTGTGTTTTGACTCACTTCCACTGTGTTGTGACTGGCTTTGCAGCATTTCTGATGTTGCATGTGTTTCTGTATTTGCAGCGTGTTTAGGAAATGTAGCATCGGTGTCGTCATTTTGTTGAAAGCGCTTTCCGAGTTTGCAGTGTCTAAAAATTTGCAGCGCGTTTGTAAAATGCAGCGCCCATGTTGCCATTTTGATGAGTGTTTTCTGCGTTTTGCAGCTCGTTTTTATTCACAGTTTGGCCACCGTACAAACAATCTCTTGTAAAACAAAGATAAAAGTGTGCAGGTAAAATACCAAACTAAAGCTCTTCCCCAATACAGGAGACAAACTCACACGCTAAGTTAAAAGAATTGCTGGTAAAAACCTAAAACACACACACACACTCCCAACACAAGAGATTAAAACTCAAACTTAAACACAGCACACACGATCAGTCCCCTCTCTCTCTATTTAGCCATCTTGAAGGCTTCTTTTAAGTCTTTTAAGGCTCCTCCCCCCATCTACACCAGCCAGACCTCTGATTGGTTAGAGGTCCCCATATGACTGACTGCAGGGCAGGTACACCTCTTTGAAGGGAGAGACCAAGAAAGAGACGCACGTAACAAGTGTGATCAATGTCTGGTGTTTAACAGCTAAATTTGTAGTCATTACAAGTAACATACGATTCATGCTTTACATGTTGGATATTAAAATAAACACTACAATGAGGAAACTTCTGTAACAGGCATATATAGGGGGCGCCCTGGGGTGTCTGGGACCCCCTAATTAATCTCTTGGACCCTCTGAATGTCTCAAAATCAATTTTCTTAGGGGTCCCTGAAAATAAGCTTATTATGACCTTAGGCTGTCCTTTAGGGAAAAATACATGCTCAAATACAGATTCAGGAAAGGGTCACTATTTATCCTCCTTTACAGTCGGCGTCTGTCTTTAATATTCTTAACTAACTAGAACTGCAGCACCGCTCTGCCTCAGGGTGGCGCTGTAGCAAATTAGTTCACCCTGTTGGTTTTTCATAGCCTAGAAACTGTCATGATGTAAATTCTTGGCGTGGTCAATCGTCTAAGCGTTGGCCCTGTCATCAGGAGATCGCAAGTTCAATCCCTGGTGATGCTACAGTTGTCCACAGCTGGGAGTCCAAGAGAGCACAATTGGCCTCGCTCTCTCTGGGTGGGTGGGATGGCCCCCTTTCTCCCCCCGTCACCCAATGCGATGCTAGTCAGCGCAGGCGTCTGTTAGCTGACGTAACTGGCGCTTTCCTCTGAGCGCGTTCGGCTGTCCAGTGACGTTGCGTGAACACCAGTTTGAAAAGGTGCAATGGAGCTTCACAGGTCTCGGAGGAAGCCTGTGTTAGCCTTCACCCTCCTAGCGCTGATAGTATCGTGTGACTGGGGGAGTCCTAACTAGCGGGTGGAATTGGAAACGACTAAATTGGGGAGAAAATTGGGTAAAAATCCAAAATAAATAAATAAACTTGATAAAATTATTACAGTACAAAGTCCTCCACTACAGAGAACAGCTGGTCATCCAAACCAGTGAAGTTTCTAGTTATTCTTTGCACTTTGGTTGTCATTTGTGATTTTTTTGTTTTTTTTTAGTTTTTAGTTTTTTCAATTTCATAAATTGAGTGCACAGATGGCGTCGACATGCTCACAGGTACTTTTCTGCTTTTGTTACTCTGCTGTATTCTGTGTATCGAGCGGGATGTCGTGTTTTCGTGTGGTTTCAAACCTGCAGTTGAGAATTTCTTGGACGTATATGTTTATCTGTTTGCTCTTCTCTTTAATTTTATTGGTTACCATCTTTAAGGTCACATTAAAGATAAAGAACTGACACGATTTATCTGACGTTACATCATAACAACCTGAAATTACAATGAAGGTGTGTAGACTCTTTATATGGACTGTAACAGCTTCGGCGCAGTGTTGTGTGTTAGTGGCGCTCCCCACCTCAATTTTGTTTACTTCTCTCATTTGAAGTCTACTGCAGGTTTTCATGCCATAGTTGGGCGTTTTTGTGTAAGTTTGTATGTTTATGCAGATATGCTGACATGCTGAGATAACTGTTCTAATTATTTTCTTCATAACTCATCCTTATTATGCTTGTATAATGCTGATATGTGATTTTTCTATTAAATTTATACCCCTGTAATTTGATTTGTCTTCTGTTTTTACCTTTTTTCATAGAAAAAAAAAAATCAGGTATATCCAGACATGGAATCAAGCAGAACAAACAGTTAACATGTTTTTGTTAGTTTGCTTTTCACATATGGTTTCAACCCAAAATAAGCCCTAGTTGCTAGCATTGTTTTATCTACGGCTGCATGTCTATCTGGGTGGTAAAATAAACAGGGCTGGCACCAGCTACAGGCAGAAGTGGTGAATGTCTAGGGCCTCAGCGTTGGCCAGGGGCTTCACACCATTGCTCTGCATAGTCAAGATGAGTAAAGAAGTATTCATTTTCTTACTGGTTATGATTGTTTGATTAACAAAAAGAGCTCCACATGGTGCAGCTATGCTAACGTTATATTCATTGTTTGGCATGAACTTTCTCAACACTGTGCTGCCTCAACAGCAGCTGGCAGTAAAAGTTGAGTATTTGTAATCACGTCCAATCACATCATTAGTATCCATATTTCCTCAATAGAAAAGTCAACTGCATTAAGCCTTTAACTGACCAAAGTGTTATTCATATCAAATTATACAGCAGTTAGTTCCGGCCACGCAAGCTGATTGGTTGAGAAGCGTTCTAACCGCACTGTTATTTCACCATAATGGATTTTTCACAAACACTGTATCACTCCGCTGAGACGCCGTTGCTAAGCAACGACTTTGACAGCTGTAGGAGACACTCAAGCCATTTGAACGTTTTTACTTCTTACTTTGCCACAAACAGAAAATGGACACTTTTAAGATCACATTTGACCGACAGCTGATTTGGTCAGACTCTGAAGATGAGACGACACTAAATTCCCAAACTGTCAGTTGGTCTGTGTGGAACTGGAGAACGAACTGCCGGCTGTGGAGCTCGTTACTCTGACGTAGCAACAAGCTTAGACTTATACTTAGACAGACTTTGTCATTTAAATTTACACCGTACAGAATGAAATTACGTTGCCTTGGCTCAGAGTAGATCGGGGAGAAAAGAAAAAAAAAAAAGTAATACAATGTAGTGCAAAGTGTGGCGCATATGTAAACGAGCTGCTTGTTAAGGAACTATAATTTGGTGAAGGAACTGAGAACATTAAAACATATTAAACGCCGCATTCACGGCCCAGTTTATTAATTTATTACTTTATTTATTTAACTGTTGTATAAAAGGACTAGAACACTCGAGGAGTGTGTTATCGCCAATAACATCACGGCTGCGATGATCTACGGCGACCAAATCACAGCCGTGATGCTATTCCGCAATAACACACTCCCTCTGTGTTCTACTGCTTAAGTAACAATTGTCCTGTCTTTTCCTGGTTTAGGAATTAGAGTAAGGTTTAGAAATCGCTTCATAGAGGCTCTTAGTTCACCCTTTTCTGGACATAAGAGATCCTTTAACTCTTCCCAAAAGAGTTTTTAAAAGTTTGCTGTTAATTAATTTGGTCCTCAGGGCTTTGTGCTTTTTTGTACTACTGATCCTAGTTCTTCGAAACTTGAATCAGAATCACACAAGTATTTAAATTCTAAGTCTGCAGAGTGAAGGTCACTGCTTACTAATATAAAGAAGACCTACCCCACCTCCTTAGGAGAGCGTGCAGAAGAACCCAGTTCAGAAAAGTTTTAAATATCCGATTTGCTTTGATGTTGTGATTTTGTAATTTCATTTTAGCTTTAAGTTAAGTCAGGTCAAGTCAGCTTTATTGTCAATACTACAATATGTACAGGACATACAGAGTATTGAGACTGCGTTACTCTCAGACCCCCATGGTGTAGCAATAACATTAAATAGACAGTAAACAGGAAATGTGTGAATTTAAATAGACACTTAAAATCTTATAATCGTAAAAATAAACACTAATTATACAAAAATAGCATAATAAAAAAATTATATAAATATAGAAGGTCCTGAAATTAACACTAAAGTGATGTAAGGCACAAACAGATTAAGGTCTGTGGGTATAATAGTGCAAATATAAACAGTAGTGCAATTAGACTGAGCTTATGGAGCTGTTAAAGTGATGGGTGCGTAACAGAAAGTGATGGGTGCGTAACAGTCCCTGAGAAGGTCAGAGTTCAGTATTGGGGAGTGGGGGTCAGGAACCTGTGTTTGACCAATACTGTCAGAGTTCAGTATTGGGGAGTGGGGGTCAGGAACCTGTGTTTGACCAGTACTGTCAGAGTTCAGTATTGGGGAGTGGGGGTCAGGAACCTGTGTTTGACCAATACTGTCAGAGTTCAGTATTGGGGAGTGGGGGTCAGGAACCTGTGTTTGGGTCCAAACTCTGTGTGTGTGTGTGGGGGGGGGGCAAAGTAGGGAGAGAGTTGAGCATCCTGACAGCCTGGTGGATGAAGCTGTCCCCCAGTCTGCTGGTCCTGGCCCGGAGACTCCGCAGTCTCCTCCCTGAAGGCAGCAGGCTAAAGAAGCTGTGTAGTGGGTGAGTGGGATCACCTGTCATTCAGAGGGCTTTCCGGGTGAGACGGGAGCTGTATATCTCTTGGAGGGAGGGGAGGGAGGTGCCAACGATCTTCTCAGCTGGAAATGATAGTGATCTGTCAAAGGTGCTTTAGTAATATTAGAGGACTCTGTGACCAGTTTGAGGACAACCAAGCCAATAATCCATTCTAGACTTGTTCTAGATCTGCTGTTTGGTGTGAAACAGGAATACTGTCTTTTACATATTGTCTTTAGATTTCCTCCAGATTTCTATCGGAGAATAAACATTGTTAAAGTGAATTAAATCCATCAATATGAGAATCCTCCAATCTGAACAGGCATCTGTTCAACCTTTCATCCAGTAAATCATTTCAGTCTCCTCACTCAGAACTGAAGCACAAGCTTCTGGATGACGCAGCATTACACAACGTGATCACCCCACTGATTTGACCAAAAGGTGGCGTCCTCTGCATGGTAATGAGGCTTTGTAACAGAAAACAGTTGTACAATGCAGTCTTTTTTGCCATCCTTTAGATCCCTAACATTAAGAGAAGCAAAAGAAACATGAGTTTTTAAAGGAAACGTTTAACTAAAACTGTGTGGATGAGATCCATATAAAGTAATTCAGGAAAAAGTCTATATTTAGCTCATTCTGCATCAACAATCCTTTAGAAACAATTCATACATTTCCTTCACACAGGCACTGACAGCCTTCTACTCATACTCATCTGCTCTTTATGAATCCCTTTTATGAACCCCGTGATAAAAATCACAGCAGGGCATGCCCTTGAGTGGCTTATTGCTTTCATAGAATGGTGGCCAACATAAAATATGATAAAATACACAATTTCCGAGAGATCATTATTAATAATAATGAAGATAAACAAGTATTCCATTCAAAAAATGCAGTTCCTTTAGAGTATGGCATCGCTGCCAGATAACCATGGACCTCTGAATGAGGAGAAGAACGTTTAGTCGCCCATCGCTGAATACTGCGGTCATTTCATGAACTTTAACTCTGTCATATAATAATGAACATATCGCTGTTCTCGGAAGAAAACCCTGTTTCTCCAAAATGGTAACTTCACAGGAGAAGAAAAAAAAAAAAAAAACTTACTTCATTTTCAATGAAAGTCAATGGAACCAGACATTTTTCCAATTCATTTTGCGCCATTTCTTTTAGTCCATTCATCATGCAACTTATACACCATGTAAAGAGCAACAGGCATTTTCAAACTGTCAAAAACTGAAAAATGACTACAATGGAGATACAAGGTTTTGTTCCGACAGTAACGATATGATAACACACCCCTGTTTAATGCAAAAACCTTTGCTTTATAAGTAGTTTTTGGTCGCCAAATTACCACCGCGAGGCTTATTAGCACAAGCTAATGGTGCCCTCTTCTCACGCAGGGTCCTAAATCTCAAATGTCTCCCTGCTCCCTGCTACATAGAGATTTAAATACTGGATTCTGCAGCCCAACAATGCATAAGAGAACTAACAAGTAGCCATTTGGTATTCAGCTACATCCATACATACACAAATACAGCACTGTTTGGCTGTAGAATTTAAAAACCTCATACTGTCATGATATGTGAATAACTCATCCTGATTCAGGTAATTCATGTGGAAGCCACAGGGTGGCACTGTTAAAATAAAGAGCATAGATGATGGCTGAACCAAAAGTGGTGTGGTGAGATCTGCTCTAAAAAACACACATCAAAACATGGTATCAGAAGTAAATGAAATTAGACAAACAGTGTTGCAAGCATGGAAGGACTGAAGCCACCTGCTGGACTTGACTTACTGCACAGGAACCTATCAGAAAACTGGAGAACATTTTGACAAAGGTTTGAGCTGTATCTAGCAGGTACCGGAGGCGCTAACAAGCCAGCCAAGGTACAGTCCGCACTATTTCTTCATGTAGCTGGCGAAGAGGCAGGTGAAGTGTACAATACCTTCACATATGGAGATGAAGATGAAGATAATTCTAACCGCATAATCTGATGAAAATAATGTAGAAATTTGAAGAATACTGTAACCAAGAAAAACATAACCTATGAACGGTACAAGTTTTTCACGTGTGCAAGGGGATATGTCGATTAGCCAGTGTGTCAGAGTTAAAGCTAAGAGTGAAGTCATGTGAATTCGGGTAATTGCAAGAATCCCTTATCAGAGATCGAGTTGTCTGTGGAATCACGTCAGATACAACGAGAGAAAGAATGTTAAGAGAAGTTGACGTGACCCTCGAAAAAGCAACTCAGCTCAGAAACTACTGAAGCACAAATGAAACAGATGCATGATGAGGATCAACATGCAAGCCTCTGCACGAGAAAACAAGCATGTAGATGCAGTGAAACATAAGCAGACACGTAAAAAAGATCAGCAAAATAAAACAAAAGAGAGAGAAAGACAAAGCAAGCACGTTTGATTGCAAACGATGAGGAACTGAGCATGCATCACGTAAATGCCCTGCTCATGGCAAACAGTGTAAAAACTGCGAGAAGATGAACCATTTTGCCAGAATGCATAGATCGCACAGTAGATGATGATGTCACGGATCAGCAAGGAAGTCTGTTCGTTGGAGTTGTGCATGCAAAGACACAGTCACAGACAGATGAATGGACTGTTGAAATAGAAATGGAGCGCAAGCCTGTCAAATTCAAACTGGACACTGGTGCACAAGCCAATGTAATTCCTTACAGTTTACTGCAAAGAATAGGCAAAAAGAACAGACTTAAACCAACAAATGTGAAACTGTCAGCGTATGCTGGAGACAAAATACCTGTGAAAGGAAAGTGCAATTGGACAGTGAAATGTTCTGGAATTCATTGTCTTGAAATCAAGTGCCAAACCAATACTTGGAATTCAAGCATGTGAAGAAATGGGGCTTGTCAAGAGAGTGATGGCACTGAATAAAAGTGATGAAATGGATATTTTCAAAGAGTATGCTGATGTGTTTGAGGGAATAGGCTGCCTAGAGGGAGCACAAACCATTCGATTTGATAAGTGTTACACCAAAAGTACACCCACCTAGGAAACCCCCTGTCACATTAAGAGAAAGACTAAAAACAGAAGTAAAGAGCCAACAAAATCCAATGGAAAGCTGAGAATCTGCTTAGATCCATGTGATCTCAATACAGCCGTAATGAGAGAACACTACCAGCTACCAACAGCTGAAGAAGTAACCAGCAAACTCTCAAAAGCTAAATACTTCACAGTACTAGATGCAAGTTCAGGTTTTTGGCAACTAAAATTAGATGAAGCCAGCTCTCGCCTCAGTACGTTCAATACTCCTTTTGGCTGCTATCGATTCCTCCGACTCACTTTTGGAATTGTGGGCCTGGAGCAAATATCTGGGTCATATATTCTCAAAAGCTGGTTTGAAACCAGAGCAAGATTGAGGCCAACACCAGAATGCAAAAAAGATGTGGAGCGATTTCTGGGTATGGTCCAGAAATACCTCGCCAAATTCATTCCAAACATGTCACAACACACTGAGCCATTACGTGGTCTTATCAGAGATGATGTCGCATGGCAGTGGGAAGATGAGCATCGGCATGCATACAACAAATTGAAAACAATGCTCACTGAAGCTCCTTTGCTCAGATACTCTGATGTAAAGCTACCTGTAGTGCTGTCGGTTGATGCTTCTAAAATTGGACTTGGGGCGGTCCTACTGCAAGAGAACAAGCCAGCTGCATATGCATCGCGTGCATTGACTGAAGCTGAACAGCGCTATGCGCAAATAGAAAAAGAGATGCTGGCAACTGTGTTCGAACAGAACGTTTCCATCAGTACACGTATGGAAGAGAAGTGAATGTGGAGTCAGATCACAAACCACTTGAAATCAATAATGAAAAAGCCGTTGAGCAGTGCTCCAGCCAGAATACAGAGACTCTCAATGAGACTGCAGAAATATCAAGTGAATGTACAAGCCAGGAAAGGAGATGCACATAGCAGATGCATTGTCCAGAGCTTACTTACCAGTGACCAACTCACCTGATAAAGACATAGAAGCACTGGTGGTCTCCAATTTGCCTGTGTCAAGTGAGAAACTACTAGAATTCAGAAAGGAAAAAAGATGATATGACACTGACTAAACTCTCAGAGACAGTTCTGAATGGATGGCCAGCAAAAAAGAGTCAAGCAGCAAAAGAAATACAACCGTATTGGAACTTCAGAGAAGAAATTTCAGCAGTGGATGGAGTTCTATTCAAAGGAGAGCGACTCATCGTCCCTGCAGCAATGAGAGCCGAAATGCTAAAGCACATTCATGTGAGCCACTTGGGCATTGAAAGCTGCAGGCGCAGAGTGAGAGAAGTACTCTTTTGGCCTGGAATGTCACAAAGTATCACAGACATGGTGAACAGCTGTGATGTGTGCAGTACACATCAGAAGCGACAGTCCAGAGAGCCATTACATCCACACAGTGTTGCAGAAAGACCCTGGCAGATGATAGGTGTTGACCTATTCACCTTTGACCGGCAGGAGTATCTACTCTTAGTGGATTACTGTTCCAAGTTCATTGAGGTCGAGTGGCTGAAGTCAGACACTAGAAGTGCAACAGTCATCACTCATCTTAAGTCACAATTCGCTAGACATGGATTTAGTGAAACAGTGATTTCAGACAATGGACCACAGTTCAGCTCTGGGGAATTCCAGGCCTTTGCAAAAGAGTGGGAGCCCCCACCCACCATGCGCAGTCAAATGGATTGGCTGAAAGAGGAGTACAGACTGTTAAACTCATGCTAAAAAAGGCTAAAGCTGATGGAAAAGATCTGTATCTGTCTTTGCTGAATCTGAAGAGTGTACCTTTAGAGGACATTGGAGCGTCACCAGCCCAGCTGTTAATGGGTCGACGTGCGAGGACAAGACTTCCAACAACATCACAAATGTTGAAACCTCACATGGTCACTAACACAGTGCAGCAGTTATTGGAAACAAGACAACAGAAACAGAAAGAATACTTCGATCAAGGAACCAGAGCACTTCCGAATCTTCAGATTGGCAA